CCGTTTTTTAAAATTTCCTGAAACTTTTATTATCTACCTATTTTTATTATTATTTATTATAATATCTTTAACGGATCAAGGTTAAAAAGATGATTTTCATCAATACTTATTATTTAATCAATCACTTTTTTATAGCCTCCTTCTTTTTTTCTACTTTTTACTTTCCGCATTCTCACACATGACTGGCAGTCCGCCGACCGCGGCAACAGCTTTTTTCTTCTCTTTAAAATAAATATTTATACATATACACTTCACCGACCGCGTGTTGAACAAAATCAATTAATTCACGTTTTTAACTACTTTTTAAATACTACTAAAAATAAATTTATCTGATCAAATTTATTTTTTCTATTTAATTTTAATACCAATTTATTAATCAATGCTTCAATAAAATCCTTTTGTCGGTTCACTTTTTTGTTCTTCACATCCTTATATTTCTTTAGTTAACATTAATAGGATTGTTGGTTCTGGACCGAACCGAAGAACCGATGATTTTTCGGTTCGGTTCCGGATATCCGAAGATTTCTCTAGAACCGACAACCCTCTAAATATTAAGCATTCTTTAAAAATACTAGACTGAACTAGGGATCGATATTTTCAAAAATCCTGGATTCTGGATCCAGAAAAAATCTATGACAATCAAAAAATGCCTTGATCTGGACTTTGGATCCAGGAAAAATCCAGACTGGATCCAGATTCAGACCGATCTCTAGATTGAACTATTTTTAAAATTTCTCAATTAATTTAATAAAAACCAATTAAATTATTTTATTTATTGATCACTTCTAATTTTCTTCTTCCTCTTAATTATTTTTTAAATTTTTTGATACGTAAATTTTTATTATTTTTTAAATTAAAATTTTTTTTAATTTTTAATAATTTTTTAATTTTTGATAATGATCTCTCTCCTCTTCTTTTCCTTTCTTAGAATTTTTATTTATTATTCACTTTATTTAATGATTAATTATTATTTATTTGTTTTATATTTCCTGTAATTGGGCATTTAAAATTATTTTAATCTGCGCACTTTTCTCCTTTTTATTTTCTTAGAATATATTTTATTTATTTAAAAATTTGTTTGGATAATTTTTAAGACGAAAATATTTTTTGATTTTTTTTCCTAATTTCTTAGTCTTTTTTGAAGATAAATGGAAAAATAAATTGACTTTGAATTTTTGTTTAAATCAGACTAGGACACGGATACTAATTTTGATATCCGTATCCGGATATTTACGGCGGATACAGACGGATATCCGCAGGCATTTTTACAATATCTGTATCCATATCCGTATCCATGATCATGTCTGGTTTAAATCATCCTCAATCTATTTATCTACCTACACATACTTAGTATATCGGATTCGGATATCCGAAATTTTCGGTTGATCCTAGAATTGCAAAACATTGAAGGGGTTAGTGGACACTAACCCCCTCAGTTGTAAAACTTATTTTTTTTGCTCCATTTTACCCTAATATGTCAAAAATCAAATAACTTTTCCTTTCCCATTCGAGGAAGAAAGGAAAAATTGGATGCCAGAATTCCTTTCGAATAGAGCCAAATTTCATATATTAAATTTTAATTTATCCCAATAATTATTTTACTTTTAAACAAAAATTCTTTTTTATTTTTGTTTATGTTTACTTCATTAGAGCCAAATACATATTTACAAATTAATTTTTATTTTTACTGTAAAATAAAAAAAGCATGTGTATTTACATCTATTTAGCACATGTACTTTTCTAAAAAAATATTTTTCTTTGCCAATTTTATCCTTTTCTCATTATTTTTTTCTCTTTCACATTGCTCACACACACTCACATATTTATATATACACTTTTAGTGTAATCCTCTAAAGTTTCTCAAAAGATAAAAAAATTTGTTTTAAGAGTGTGTCAGGCAGTACAAAACAAGCTAAAAACAAGCTTACAGCTGGCTATACAAAAAAAGCAATTATTATTTCCAACTTTTTATTATTTATGGTTTTGGCGCGGAAATGTTTGTATACTGAATCGAAATAGAAAAAAATATTTATTTTTTCGTTTCGAAGTAAAACGAAATGAAGAAAGGGCACGAAATGAAAAACGAAACAAAACATAATTTCGCTAAGTCCTGGCGACCTAAAATCGTAAAAATTTCTTTTTTTAAAAAGTTGACTTAAATTTTGCACGTGAAAAACTATCGAAAACTATTTTATTTTTCTCAAAAAAAATAATTTTAGAAAATAATTGTCTTAATATCTAACCGAAACGCGTATTGGACGTGTATTACTTATTTTTTAAACAAAATTTCATTTAAATTTTTCATTTGACGATTTTATTTGTGTGCGCCCAGAACCTTTCTTACGCCAAAATATTCCCTTCCCTCCCTCATTTACTTAAATAAATATTTTTTATTTCCTTCTCTTTTTTTCACTCCAAATATTAAAATATTGTGCAAATTTGCGGATGTTAATTTGCGGATCAATAAAAAATTATTCTATTAAAAATATTATTAACTGATTATTTTTTTATTTTTTTTCTTTAAATCTCAACTTTTAATTTGTTAAAAAAATATTATAATTAAGTTATTTAATAATTGAGAAAATTAATTTGAGTTTATGTATGTCGGACTTTTGAACATGAAAGAAATACCAGAAAAAAATTTTTATTTAAAATTTATGATAAATCTGGAATTATTTTTAGTTTTTTTTTGAAGAAAATTAGAAGTTACCGTAAAGCTATTAATGTCCCTCCCTTAAATAATTACCCTACCTCTACCCAGGGTAGATAATACAGTTTTTATGGTATTTATGATTTTAATAATTATTAATTTCTTAAAAGAAAGTTTAATTGAAAACGAAATTTTAAAGAATTTTTTTAAGTAAAAATATTTCCTTTAAATTCTGTCAATCACAATTTCTAAAATTCTGAAATTATTGGAATATTTAATTAATTAAGAAAAAAAATTTTCGTAAGGACAACGGGGCGCATCAAAATTGCGTCCGCATCAAAATTGCGTCATATTTAATGTCTATTAATTTTATTTTAAAATCTACATATATATTTTATTTTCCCATCACCTTTATTATTTTCCCATAAAATAGTTAAAGTACTTTTATTTTTATTTTAAATTTATTTAATACCTTTTTAATTTTTTTTTAAAAATTATTTCTATTTATTACGTAAATGGCACTATTTTTACATTTCTTCTTTTAAATAATTTCCATTTTGTATGTTAAAAATTTGTAACTAAAACACCTGTCTTTTAACAAAAAATTGAAAAAATTATTCTTTTTTTATTTATTAGTCATTTAAATAAATACAGTCGTGGAAAAAAGTATGGAAGCGCTAGAAAATTTTCTCTTAATTTTTAATTTTTCATTCAAAAAATACGTTCTATATACCAATCGAAAGCTCTATTCGTATCTCAGTTGACATGTTTCTGCATTTTTCATGAAAATGAAAATTGGCCGAGATAATCCGGATCTACCGGATATACCAAATCCCACTTTTTCGGAAAAATTTTTCGGAACAAATTTAACAAACCCAAATGATAAAGTATATTTTTCTGAGTATTTTCCACAAAACCGCTTAGAAATATCTTTTTCCGGAGCAGAGATATGATTTTTTGAAAATCGCATTTTTCGTCTATTTTTGCAAAAAATTCAATTTTTAAGGGAAAAATACGATTTTCAAAAAATCATATCGCTGGACCGGAAAAAGATATTTCTAAGCGGTTTTGTGGAAAATACTCAGAAAAATATGCTTTATCATTTGGGTTTGTAATATTTGTTCCGAAAAATTTTTCCGAAAAAGTGGGATTTGGTATATCCGGTAGATCCGGATTATCTCGGCCAATTTTCATTTTCATGAAAAATGCAGAAACATGTCAACTGAGATACGAATAGAGCTTTCGATTGGTATATAGAACGTATTTTTTGAATGAAAAATTAAAAATTAAGAGAAAATTTTCTAGCGCTTCCATACTTTTTTCCACGACTGTATATACTTTTAATTTTTTGTTTTTTTAAGTAAAAATATTATTTTTATATTTTTTGAAAATACTTTGAACCTTTTTTTAATTTGTTTTTTAATTTAAATTTTATTAATGCTTGAAGTTGCTTATAATGGCTTACAAAAGATTACCGTATTTACTCGATTAATTCCCCTGCGGAATTATTTTTTTCAACCCACCGTGGAGTGGGTAATTATTCAAGGGTGGGGAATTATTCGAGTTTTGAAATTTGAACGTGTAGTAGGGTATTTGGGGGAGGGAGAGTTGGTAGTGTTCAAGGGAGTGAAATTAATCGAGTATATGTATACAGTAGGTAAGAAAAAAGTTTGTAAATTTTGGGTTAACTAATATTTCTTAGATTTGGAGAGACCTTTTTGGGGGACTTGATTCACCTCTTTATTTCTTCTCCTAACTTTTTTATATTCTGCCAAACTTCCCCAAAGTATTTATCACTCAGGTAATTTGTTTTCGTGTTATATCAAAGAAATAAGAATTGAAAATAGAGCCGGCCACCCATAGTTTTTTTTCTCAATATTTTGTCTGTGATTTTATCACTTTTATTTAATTATAAAAAATTTTCTTTCCCCATTCAAACCTCTATTTATTTTTTCATTTAGTATTTATATTTATTCACTATACTGATTTTTTGATTGAATTTTAGTTTTATATTTTGAGGTTATTTTCTTATTATTAGGGTTGAAGGTCCGATCCGGCCGGTCCGAATGATCGGGTTGGGCATTGAATTTTGGCCCGAAAAAGACTCGGTCGGGCCGGCCCGATAAAAATGAGGCCCGAAGAAATGACTCGAACGTCGGCCCGACTCGAAAACCCCAACCCTACTTATTAACAGAAAATAACCCTTTTTTTATTATCAACTTTAATTAAAATTTTTAAATTAATTTTTAAAACAAAATAAATTAAAATTAACCCCTTTTTTAGATTAAAAATAAAATTTAATTTTTACTTAATTTATTAAAAACAAAATTCCTTTTTCAACAATAAATATATGGTAGAAGAACAACAAAAACGTAAAAGAACACCTTCTCAATTAGTCTGTCCAAAAATTGAAGAAATTGGACTTTTTTGTGGGACGGCTTCAAATAATAATTTGATAACGGCAAATAATTCTGGACAAATTTATAATTGTCAAATGAATCAAATGGCGTTTATTGGAGGACAGAATGTTGCCCAATGTAGGGATTTTTTACAAAAATTTGTTCCAAAAAAGATTTTATCTTGGTCGAATTTCAACGCCCTCTCTCTTTAAGGGAAGAGAAATCCATGGCATTGGGACCGGGGATGGGCCTGGTTATCCGAAACCCGATCCGAAAAAAATCTTGAAAACCCGAACTGACTTTTTTCTCAACCCGGCCTATCACTGATTGGGGCCGGATTTTTCACTTTTCCTTTATCCATGATTTTTCTTCCTTAGGCATTCTTATTTATTATATTTTTAAGTTTTTTCTCCTTTTCTTTCTTACAGCTAATAATAATTCTTTTTTGTTTACTCGGTCAGAAAATAAACCCAAATTGTCGAATAATTTAAAAAAATTTCTGTTTAAGTATATGTGAAATTATGAACATATGTATTTTGAAACATTATAATCTTTTTAATTTCTAAAAAATCACACTTTTAAATCATTTTTCTAATTTTTTAAAGTACAAAGTATTCCTCCTCCTCATCCCCCTCCTCATCCATGTGACATTCTTTCAACTAATGAAGAAATTATTGATAATAGTAGTAATATTATTCAACCTTCACCAACAACAACTACTTGCCTTTCTGACCAAAATAATATGTCTCAAAATCAGCAACAGCTTCATAAACAGCAACAATCAACTTCTAATTTTAATAATAATCTTTCTTCAAATCCCCCAACAGAAAAAAGTAATTCCTTAACTTGTACAGTTTGTGGGGATGTAGCGACGGGGAGACATTATGGATCTGTTGCTTGTAATGGGTGTAAAGGATTCTTTCGTCGGACAATTAGAAGGAATTATAAATATACTTGCCGCTTTAATTCTAATTGCCAAATTGATAAACGTGAGTTTGCTTTTTTAATTTAAATTTATTTTTGGACTGGAAAAAAATATTTGAAAGCTCGACATTTTTAATGTCACCTATTTTGTGTTAGGATCGTAAGTCTAAATTTATAGCAATAATTCTTGTCTTGTTAACCTTTAAAATAACCTTAACTTTTATAATCTTGATGTTTCCAACAAAAATAAATATTTTTCTGTTCTAAAATTAAGCTAAAAATTCATATTACCGTAAATGCTGAAATAATGTCCCTCTCAATTACCCCCGCCCTATTAATTACCCCCTACAGCCAGAGATCGAAAAAATAATTAACTCCCTTTAAAATAATTATAATTAGCCTTTTTTAAAAAGGCTTAAATAATTACCCCCTCCTTTCTAATTACCCCTTCAGGGAGAGGTTGTAACAATAATTACCCTGGGTAATTATTTTAGCAAATACGGTAGGCCATTTTATTCTTCTAACATCAATTCATTGAGGACATAATATTTTGACAACATTTTCTTTTAATTATAATTTTGTTTCCAAAACTTCATTTTTAGTTTTTAAAATATTAATAAAATAAGTTAGGATTATTTTTAATTCTTTTAGATAACCGTGCTGTTTGTCGAGCTTGTCGATATTCACGTTGTATTATGTTTGGAATGAAAGTTGACGGTAATTCTTTATTATTTGATTCAAAAAATTTCTTTTTTCTTTTTAAGCTGTTCAAAGTGAAAGGGACTTAATTGGAAAACGTTCTCGTTATTCTTCTGCTTCAGGCACTCCTGGGCCCATTCCAAGCACCTCTTCTCCGCCCCTCCAACACCAACAAAGTTTGGAAGAAGAGGGACAACTTTCACCTATTTCAAAAGATGAACAATTACATCAACAAACACAGCAAGGTGGGTAGAAGATAAAAGATTGGAAGACATTATTTTACTGGCACATAATTGTGCCTGTTCCTTTCGAAAATTGCGGTAACTCCAAGGTACCCCAAGGCCAAGGTACCGCCGTGCTATAACTTTGTCTAAAATTTTCGAATCCGAGACGCCCTGGTATGGTTCGATACGCCTCGACGAGCTGAATTGAACCATACCAAGACGTCCCGGATTTGACAATTTTGAAGAAAGTTGTAGCTCGGCGGTACCTTGGCCTGCTCCCCGAAAATTGGAGTAAATTTTCTTCTAATTGGAGCCTAACTATAATTTCATCACTATTCGTTTTGAGCTTCTTTTCATTTGATACCTTTAAGTTTCACAACAACCTCAAACACAAAATATTTTGTCAGCCTCCTCGCAACAACAAAATAGTGGAATTAATCGTTCAAATATTCCAACAACCCAAACAGATACTTCACAACTTTGTGAAGTGGACATAGATGAACATATATCTAGAAAAAGATCTTTATCTAGTGGTAATCACTATGAACAGCTTAAACCTGCTAGAAGGTGAATTTAAATTTTTAGGGATTTGTTAATTAGTGTTAGGGTCTAATTATTTACTAATTAGGTATTAGGAGCCAGCTTTTTAAATATTTTTTTCAGAAATTTCACTACCAATAACAATACAATACCTCATCAACTAGTAACAACAACAGAACAACAACAGCAACAAAACCAAACACAACCCGAATTAAACTCTATTAATGAAGCTGACCCTTGGAGTGGACAGAATGGAAGGGCTTTGTTACGTCACTTGCTTTGTTCAGAGGAAAAAATTAGTAATATGCGAGATACTGTTGTTGCTCATGCTTGTACTCTTCAATATTCGACTAGAGGGGTAATTTTTTGGGGGAAATAATTTTCTTTATACATATTTGCAAGACTGTTTGGAATTAATAATTTATTGAAGATTATCTTTTTATATGAAAGAGTGTCATATCAAAAACTATTTTGCTATAAGGAAACTTGGGGACGAATGAAACCTTAAATAAAGCAGCTGGGCTATAGCTATTTATCTCCTTTAGCTAGTGCAAAAGGTTTTTCGGCGGCTGGGCGCGAACCAGCATCCTTAGTAGACCGGACTGGTTTGTTAGCCTACTGCACAGCCTTAGGAAATAAATAGCTATATACTTTACACTTGTTACAGGATTAGATAGCCTTATATTTTTATGAATGGAAGGGATCATGCTAATAATAATTATACATATCACTACTTGTTGGCCCCTCCTTTTGGGCAAAATTAAGAGCAAATTAATAAAAATATTTAAATTTATTTTTATAATTTTAGTCTCGATTTCCATTTACTGGAGATGGAAACACAAGAAAAGCTAGTGAAAATGATATTTTGCAGTCTTTACACACACAATTACTTTTAGTTATTGGTAAATTAAGTAAATAAATATTTTTACAACAAAAATTTTTTTAAAGAATGGGCAAAAACTTTAAAACCTTTTGCTGATTTACCTACAGAAGATCAAGTAAAACTAAAGCATTCTTTAATTTTTTTCAATTTTTAAAAATTAAAGACAGCTTTACTTAAAAATTTTGCTGCGCAACATGTTGTTTTGTGTGTTGCATATCGTTCTACAACAGACTTTTTAAAATTGATAAATGATTCTTGCATTCCGCGTATAGTTAATGGAGCTGAAAAGGAGTGAGTTTTTTGTTTAAAAATTGCTTGATCTGATAATGAAATATCCTCTTGAGGTTGAAAAATTGTATCTCATAATTAGGTTTATAAGCGACATCACTCGGAGTTTTTATAAAAAATACAGTACGCGTCCCCACGGTGACCGATCCGAACGTATTTATTAGGAGGTATTATTAATAGGGTTGTATGTTCTGGACCGAACCGAACCTACGAACCGTGGATTTTTCGGGTTTCGGATATCTTAAGAATTTCCAGGAACCGACAACCCTAATTATTAAAGTGTGAAATAAGACTGATATCATTTCTGTACTTTTATAAATTAAGTAAAAGTACAATGTATTTTTTTATAAAAATTTAGCTGTGCATTAAATATAAAGCTAGGCTTTCTCTTGATTAATTACAAGAATGTACAGATTATTTTTATTTATTTTTCAGTCTTTTTTATCGAAGAGATGCTGAACGTGTAATGGATATGTTAGTTTCTCCAATGCGCTTTCTTAGAATGGATGATGTTGAATTTGTGGCACTTAAAGCTTGTATTCTTTTTAATCCTGTAGCTCGTGGTCTTTCATCTAATAGTGTTATGAGTATTTTACAAACAAGAAGACACATTTTCAGAGCTCTTCAAAATTATGTTCGAGCAAAAGCACCTAATGATGAAGATAGAATTGGGGATTTAACTTTTTTTGTTTTGTCTCCTTTACAGGTGATATTAGTAGAGATTAATTTATAAGGATATTGAGGGATGGTTTATGGCAAGTTTTCCCTAAGGACGTTGCTAAGCTTTATTTAAAAATTGAAATTGCCAGAAACTTAAAAAAATAGTTTTAAGGTTAAGTCGTTAGAAAATAAGCTAAGTTCTTGTGTGCATGCTAAACGGATAAAAAGTAAATTTTTATGGGTTCACTGAATTTCATTCAACTTACTAATCTCGATCTTGAACACACAAACACCCTTGGGATTACTTTCATTAAAAAAATGAGGGATATCTTAAAGAAGTGTACTAATTTAGGGGTTATCTTTATAAGATTTCTCTTATCAAAATTTTATTTTATATAGTCATTAGCAAAAGCAGTGTCAGAAGATGTTTTGGTTAGCAAAATAACAGGAATTGCTAGATTGGACCAATTAATGGAGGAATTAATGCTTGAAGGTTGGGGAGGTTCTAAATATTTTTTAGTTTATTTCTTTTATTTTAAATTAATTTATTTTTGAAGATCTTGATCTGAAAGAAATGTCAATGGGAAATGACTCAAATCAAGGTGATGAAGCTAGTACCTCAACATCTCAACAACAAGGGGGAGATCATTCTATTCCAATTCAAGGACATGTTGATTCTTCTTCTAATAATACAAGTGATTAAAAAATGAAAATAAAATTTTTTAAATTATTTTTTGTCAGTTTCTGCACCAATTAGTAACCATCCACAATCAATGAGTAGCCAATGGAGTGGAACAACAGGTCCTGTCCAACCCAATTCCCCAATTTCCAAACAACGCGGACGAAATGTCTCTTCAGCTTCTGATTCTTCCCAAGCAACTTCCTCTTCCGGTTCTCCATCTCAAACATTTTTACAGCCAGTTCCAAGTACTCCTTCACCTTATTCTAGTGGAATAATAACAGCAACTGGAGGGGGAGGAACTGTTCCTATTTCTCCTGTTAGTGAATCTGAATTTTCTTCTTCTGCTCTTTCTAGTTATGTTTTTGGAAATTCTCTTTACGGGTAAATTTTAAAATTAAAAAAAAGTTTTTTACCCCAGAAAAACTCGGTTTTAATTTTTATGAATGGTAGATATTAGAATAAAGTTTGAAGGGTCCCCTTTACTAAACCTCGCCACAGCAATACATAGTTTTTTAAATCTGTTTTTTTCTCTTAAATCAACCAAGTATTCTAATAATTATAGTAATATCCAACCTCCATTTGCCTGGCATTCCCCATCTAATACAGGCATTCAATCCAACAATGATGTTTGTTTTTCATCCAATCCAACAACCTCAACAAAATTAATTTCTCAACAACAGCAAACCTCTCCAATTTTAACTTCAATTAATCCCCCACCAATTTATAATAATTCTACAAATTCACAACAATATTATAATAATTCTAATAATATACAAGAATCTTCACAACATTATTATAGAAATCAAAATAATAATCAACAAGAAGAAAGAAGGGGAGAAATAAATTCAATAAATCAACCAAATAATTGTGCTTGGGGAGTTGTGAATAAACAAATGCAACATCATTTTGTACCTACACCGTCTACACCTGTACCAGCAATTTATAGTGGAACAAGTCCGTCACCTCCACAACGTTTTGGAGTTGGTGGTGTTGGAGGGGGAGGAGGAAGATAAAATTAGATAAATATATTTTTTGTTTGTATTTAGAAAAAATTTAAAAAATATTTTTGCATTATAAAATTAAAATTTTTGTTAATTGTATATTTATTTTAATGTCCATATTTTAAGTTGAGAAAAATAATTTTGAATATTTTTAAAAAATTAGGAAAAAAATTAATTTTCTGAAATTAGCTTTTTCTCATTTTTAGAGGATTTTTAATATATCGTAAATGCTGAAATAATGTCAATCTCTCAAATAATTACCCCTCTTAAAAATAGTTATAATTAGCCTTTCTAAAAAAGCTTAAATAATTACCCCCTCCCTTTTAATCACCCCCTCCAGCGAGAGGCTGTAACAATAATTACCCTGGGTAAAAATAAAAATTAAATATGGACATCAAGACTATTTATATAATTAACAATTTTTGACCTATATTTTGCATATTATTAATTTGTAATTAATTAAACAATTATTTTTGTTTAATTAAAAATTATTATAAAAATGTATTATACATTATTTTTTCACAAAATTATTTTGCTCAAACTATTTAACCATGAATCATTTCTTTCCAATTATTTTTATTTAGTTGATAGAAAATTAATTAAAATTACCTATATAAATTTAATTTCTCATTATTTACTCTCTACGTAAATCTATCAGGGTCACATTAATGCTTAGCCTTGTATATATTAATCCATTTATCATTTAAATGTGTACCTCTCTCCAGTTTAAATTTTCTGAGATATCGACTTTTTTTTAAATAAAATTATATATTTTTTACAAAATAACTTTAAAATTATCAAAATAATATTTAAAAAGCATGTTTCACCGAAGAGAATTTATTCTCAATTAAATGGTAACAGTTTTCCGATCTTTAACCCGATCCGAAGTGATCAACTCAAAGGCAGAAAAAACCAATTTTACGGCTATAATATTTGTGGAATGATCAGATTAGTCTACTTATCACAGGGAATGTTGTTCTAAAGAATATTTTGGGATGTTTTCGCAAGATGGTATTAAAATCCTATCCTCTTATCTGCTTTCTTTTATTAATTAGGGATACCAAATCCAGCTATGTAATTCCGGCCTGAGCTCGAATTTTATTTCCGGCTACTCACAAAAAACTGACAGGATCTGATTAGGTTTCTGAATCCAGAGGTGTGCGTATATAACAGGACCGACATATCGGGATTACTGTGAGAAAAATAAACTTGTGTTTTACCCGTGCGCAAAACGAGCTACGGTGTGCCCCACAATTGTCGCGCCAAACCAGTTGCTTTACTGGCCCGTGCCAAATCGTCCCGGAAAACGACAGGGGACCATTGAGTCCCGCCGATTGAGTCCCGGATCCATATTTTTGGGGTTTTCCAATTCTCAATCGGTTTAGATAATTTATCAAGAGCTATTGATTTAGGGATCATTCTATCTGCAGGATTGATCTGATCAGATCAACGTCAGCCTAATAAAGTTCAGAAATCACGATTGAGTGCACTTATCTAGATGTAATTTTTTGTAATATGATCTGATCAAATTCATCTATTTGGCGAAAATAATCCTTACTTCTAGAGCTTTCGATAAAATTGAAAAATAAAAATTAAATCCGTACTGTGGTAAGGATTATGTGCTGTGGTGATCTGCGAGATATTTTTGTGTTCCGTATAATTCTCACCTAACAATAAAAACTTTTTTCTTATTTTTTAGAATCTAATAATGATTTCACGACATAATTCTGAAGAGTCATTTGATTCTTGTAATTCTAGTCCTTCAATTCCTTCACTTCACGAACAACGATCTGTTACATCATCAAAAAGTCGTCGGAGTACAGAAGATCAACATGTTCTGGTTGTTAGAAATCTGAAGGGAAAAGGAAGGGTTATACTGCTTCGAGATGTTCGTTGTTTTTTTGCACATTTTAATTTCTTATTTTTTTTAGCTTTTTTATGTTTTTAACCTCAATGCGAGAGCAGATGGTGATAAAGCAGATAATATTGACAATGTTGTTGACATTCATTTTGTTGGTGACTGTGCTCTTATAAAGGTTTATTTTTTTAATTTCTATTACAATTGTGAATTCTAGATGTTATCGAAAGACGCTGCCTGTCGTGCTAAGTCAGCGTTAGACGAAAGTTGGCTTTTTGACAAGTTTATTAAAGTTGACTGGGCTTCTGTTCCACAAATCCATCAAATGCAAAATCTCGGTGCGGGCAAGCCACCACTTGCTGTGGGATTTCGTCGAAAGGATGATCAAGCAAAAAGACGGCAAAGACAATCGGCAAATGGTCCTCCTCCTAATTCATACGGAGGAGGTAATTTTGACAGTTCTGGAGACATTGATGATATTCAGGTAATAGTTTTAACGAATATATTAAGACTAGGACTCATTCGATATCAGATTAGCTGTTGTTTTTTATTGGGAATTTGATTGTATGACGATTGCAAAGATTTCGGGTACACCCCAAGGCACCGCAGATCTATAGCTTTTTTCAGAATTGTCGAATCCGGGACTCCCTGGTATGGTTTGATGCACCTCGACGATTACAAATTTGAAATAATTTATAGCTCTGCGGTACTCTGGCCTGCTCCCAAATTTCTAACAGAATATTGGGCAAATTTTATTTATATCAGATATCTTAGTGTTAATAGTGTACAGGGTGTGATAATCATATACTATTCTATATTGACTATTTTTTGAATTCGACAAGTAGCTCATAATTACTTGATCTAAAATTTTTAGGCACAAATTGCTTATTATGGGACTAATTTGCCTTCAAAAAGGACTCGTTTTTTACGTCCTGGGACTGGTTTAAATGAAGTTCAAAATCTTAGGTAATCTAAAAATATTTTCTACTTTTTTTATTTTTAAAGTTATGTTCGTCATCATTCTGACAATAAGACCAAAAAGGAAGACAAAGAAAAAGGGGGAAGTAATTCAGCCATCAATCAACAACATTCTCCATTACATAAACGATTTATTAATTCTGCCTGCACAAGAACAGTTACCAGAGAACGTTTGCCTCCCTCGCCTGTTTTGTATGTCGAAGGACTTGAATATTATGGAGATTGGACCAACAATATTTTGGCTCGCACTGACGTATGTCAAGTAAATTTTACTTTTAGTAAAATTTTTTAATTTAAAAGGAATTAATTTTTAAGTAGTATTTTCTTGTTAATTTGGGGGGTTTTGAATTTTAATTTTTAAAAATTAGGATTATTTTATCCTTTTAATAATGAAAGTAGAATTACCTGAAAATTTAACAAGAATTTACTATTAGACTGGGTTCAACTTGAGGCTCCAAATTTGCGTAGGCGAGAGGCCGAAAAAGAATCGGGGGAGACTGGAGCTTAATAAAACTGGATGTGGAAGAGTGTAAACTTGAATTTTTTTAAAATTCCATTTTATTCTTTTGTGGAGAATTTTATTTCTTAAAATTCTTTACTTTTTATTCAAAATTAATTTTTTTAGTTAATAACAATATTTACTTTCTGTGGAGTAGTTAAAGACATTTATATTGGTTATTGCAGACAAGATAATATTGTTGAAAAATGTTATGGATCTTGTAAGCATATGGCTTTAGTTCAGATGGAAACTGTTGATCAGGCTACTCGGGGTTTTCTTTTAATTTTTTAAAAATTAAATTTAAATTTTATTTTTTTCAAGCAATTAATGAATTTGATCATACTTGGCAAATGGGACGTTTTCTCAATGTTAATTAATTAAAAATAATTTTAAAAATAAAATTTTTAGGTTACTTATTCTCACCATCAATGTATTGAACATGATCGAAATAATCGTCGTGATCGTTACTCACACAAACGTTTTGTTCACAGTTAAAAAGAAAAGGTGAATTTTATCGTAATTGGCATTAAAAGTATTTTTGTTTTTATTTTCGCTTTAAACAAATATTTTCTAAAATTTATGTATTAACATTTTTGTTCTCGAAAGAGAAGTTTATTTTGACTTTATTTTTAAGTTTTTTTTTGTTTGAATTAAGGTTGCATAAATATTTTAAATTAAAAGACATTTTTTGTTCTGTGAATGTTTTTAGTAAATAAATAATATTTTTAAGAGATTAAAAAATTTTTTTTATTAAAGATTTTCGTTGGAATATTTGAAAAACTAAGTAATGCTAAAAATAAATTCATTTGTTTATCCCTTTTATTTGTTTCTCGTTAATCCAACCCATTGATTACTTGGATGTCTTGAATTTCCAGCTGATGTGTTGATTGGTGTAAATACACTATTAGAGCGTAAGCCAGATAAATCGCTTAATCTAGGTCGAAGTTCTGCCTTAAATAAGCAATTTTTAAAAATATTTTTAAAGCTCTCTTCTCTCTCTCTAAACTGACTTATCAAGTCGTGTCATTGTCCCTGCATTTTTATATTTTTTGTTATCTTAATTCTTGCATTCATTCTATCTTATAGCTTGTATTATATCTAAACTCAAGTTTGTCCTGATGGATGTTATGAGAGAGAGAAATCTTTTTGTTTAATTTCAACTTACCCTTTTATGTTTACTTCTAAATTTAATTACTTCACCAGGCCTATGCCAATCACTATCCAAAAGTGTTGGTTCTTCATTGTAATTCCATTGCTCTTTATTCCTTTCTCGTTTATGTTGTCTAGTATGCCAACCAATTCCTAGTATTCTGGCAACTGCCAAAAACATTCCTCCACCTCTTTTATTTTTATTAGAATTTTTTTGATTAGAATTAGTATTAATTTTTGAAGATTCCTTCTCATCCAACATCCTTTTGGATATATCTATATTCTCGGATTGCTGATCATGCCCCACTGTTTCACAACACATTTCTTGTGCGCAAAGCGATGATTCCCTAAGCTTTAAAAGAGACTGATTTATTTATTTTTAATGGAGGAGGGTGTTTACAAATTTTTGGTTTAAGTCCACAATGTAAATTCCCTGTATCCTAAACCCCAGATTGGGTAAAATAGAAGCAGGCCAATGTACCGTCAAGCTATAACTCTGTTTAAACTTATCAAATCCTGGACGCCCTGATAATGACGATGCCCCTCGATGAGCTGAATCGAGCAATACCAGGGCATCCCAGATTCGATAATTTTGAATGAAGTTATAGCTCGGGGGACATCGGAGTGTAAAATTCTCTAGATCACTGGGGATGGGAGAGAGGGCCAGGTTTGGGTTGAGAAATTTCTCCCAAAAATACATATATTTTTCACCTGAATCTGTTCAATACTATCATCACTTTCTTTTATTTTCTCTGATTTAAAATCTCCTAAAGAATTCCAATATTTCCCTTCTCGAATATTATTATTTTCTTCTAATAAAAAAGATTCTTTTAATTTTTCTTCATTTTTAGAAAATTTTCCTCGTAAAGAACCTCCTTTTTTAGCACCTTTTGTTTTATTTTCTTCATTTTTTCTATTTTTAAATTTTTCTTTTTCTTCATTTCCTTTATATTCTCTACTTAAAAATACTTGTAATTCTTCCCCTTCTTCTTTACACAAAAGGCTTAAATTTCGTGTCCATTTTCGTCGTTGAGCGATAAGAAGCATTTGCCTTTCTCCAACTGACGATGAATTCATCTGTTAACTCAAAATTTGTGAAATATTATTTTTAACTGATAATAAATGACTATCACCTAAACAACAGGTGCCCTTGTTAAGGCTGATTCAGATATTTAAAAAGCAAGGACTTAGGTTCCAGTGTTTGGAAGTTCATACCAAGATTTGTACTCCTACGAGCAAATTTAAATTTCCAAACACCGTTAAGGACTCGAAAAATAGTCGACAAGTTCTGACTGTAATCAAAATACTCATAATTAACCAACCGGTATATCCTTTTCATATTTTATTTTTTCTGTCTCTTCTGTAGTGTTAGCACTTCCCATGGGTGGTGAATCGTTTTCCGAGAACATGGTGCTAAGAACAATACTTTTTTTCTTTGGAGGATTTAAAACAGTTGAACAGTCATCCTCTCGAACTTAAATTTAGTAAATCCATTTCGTCCTTTTTGATACTTCAATCTCTATCTTATCCCCAACATTTATTTTAAATATCCCAGACTTATTGTCGATTCATCTTGAGAGGTGAAATGAAAGATTAGATATGTGATAAGATAGAGATTCCCCTGTTATATTCAAAGAAAAACCAATAGTTGCAGCTTTAAATGATCCAATAGATCTAGCAGAACGATTGCTGTGTGTTCCCCCACCTCCCCCAACCCCAACAACATTCTGCGCAAAATTAGAACTACTTCCACTTCCATTATAACGACGAGGTCTACTAACACCTAAACAACAGGCTAGCCGGCGAAATTCTTTCATTCGGAAATAACAAAGTGGTTGGCAAACAGAATGAACACCAATTAGTATCTAAAATTATATTTTTAATTCTTATAATTTAAGTTTTCTTCTACAGATTCACTCAATCCAACGAATATCCACTCTCCTGTAATCATTATCCTCTCTTTTTCCCTAAAGCCTCTGTCCTTATGTTGGTTTCCCCTGCTTCGAATTTTTGTTTCTTTTAGAGTAGATTAATCCCTGCTAGAACCCAAAACTGCAACAAAAACAACAAGTATCTAACCTACATTTTCTACCAACTTCATTTTTCCTAAATATTACTACTTACTTGAAGCCCCCAACGTATTAAAGTACTCATTTGAGATGTTGCAAGTAAATTATTTAAATGTAGAAGTGCCACCATTTGAATACCCGAATATGGAAAAAGAAAAAGGACATCAACAAATAAAACAGTTCCAATAACAATTAAATATTTATGTCTGGACATTAAATGACTTTTCCATTTTCTATGTGAATTACAACGACGGCTACTATAGAGATAAAGTTAAACTATATCTCAATTAAAAACAGATCCAAAAAACCTTTGTTCTATATTATTGTTATTTAAAGTACAATAATGGCATTGCCCACACCCTCCCCCATCTCCCTGTTCAGCAGCAACACAGCTGCCTATACTTTGGGGACTTCCTGCTGTTGAAATTGTACTAAACTTTTTTCTATTTTGATTATATTGGTCTAATAATAATTGTTGTTTTTGCTGTTCTAATTTTCGAATTTGTGATGTTGCATGACTGGAAGGGGAAAATGAAGGTTGTAGATTAGGACTTGTATTGTTAGATTTTAATTGATGTCGGTGGTTGTGGTGCATTGACCTTTGAAAGATTTAAAACAATATATAATTAGGAGTAATCTTGTTCCTCATGAAGAGTAATTTCCAGGGCGTACTCCTTGCAGCTGATTTCCGCAGCTCCTTCCCATACAAGGTATTTTCTGCAGGGTAAGACTCTCTCTTGATCCCCACCCTTTTAATAACCCTCACCCACAAAATTCTTCTCTTTCCCTATACAAAACCAAAATTACCTTTTATGGTAGATTGAACTCCCTCGTACCAAATTTCGACCATTATTGGAAGAAAGAGCAACAGTTTCTTCCTCTCGACTTTCTCCAACATTTTTTAAAATACGTCGAGAACCAACACCTCCACATTTTTGGAATTGACGGATTGTTCGGAGAATTTTCCCGTAGCAAATAAGAACAGTAAACAAACAAACATAGCAAAGTACAAAAATCATTAGCATCTAAAAATTGAAAGATTTTTTATTTTTAAGTTTATTGTTCGTTTTATTCATTAATTTTATTCATCTTTTCAATGATAGATGCTTCGAGAATGGCTTTTGCCATGTCAAATACTCAATTCTTTTAATTCCTAATATATTTCTCGAAAAATACTCTTCTAAATTTTTTAAAGTTCCCCTCACTTTTAGTAAATTTTTATTGTTTAATTGCACAAATAATAATTTCAAGGCAAAAATATAATTTTTTATTAAAATCTATGGGGGGGGGATAATAAAAATTGGAGTTATAACTGGAGCCAAATAAATATTTATAGGTACTATAATTTTCTATTCTTTAAAATTTATTTTAATAAAAATCAAATATTTTTTACACTCAAAACATTAATTGACAATCCCCCAGTTTGTCTTCTAGTAAAATCTTTTTGATGAACAAATAAAGAGGAAGATATTGTTTGATTATTTAAAATAAATTCTTTCTCATTTTCCTCTTCATCAAATTTTTCTTGTAAAATACTTTCTTTTCTAACCATTAAAGAATGAGCAGAATCAAAAAAATTAGAAAATATAGATCCAATACCAAAAAGTAAACTTATTAGCCAACTGAAAAATTTAAAAAATCTTTTAAAAGAAATATTTTTTTACCAAAATGCAAGAATAAATAAAACAATTCTTCTTCTAAAATATCTTCTATAATGCAATGGATATTTAATTACAATAAATTCATTTGTTGTAAAAACAAGTAAATTAAATATTGTTAATAAATTACATGAACGTAATATTACTAATGTTACTTGATTTATCTGCAAAAAATATTTTTAAAAGATTTTTATAAATCTTTATGGAGATGTAAAGGATGCCTTTCTCCTTTTATGTATTTCAATTATGTAAGGAATAGAATCTCAACAATGATTAATTTTCGATTTCAAATCGAACTGAAAATTTCAGTTCGGAAGAATTTACTCAAATCTACAACCATGGCATAGAGAGAAGCCTCAGATTTTAAGATTTTTGAACTTGTTTCTCATTGATTCCTATTAACCTGCTCTCGCAAGGATTTTTTTTCAAAGTTTTTCCTTTTATTTAATTTTTCTCTAGTTCAATTTTTTAAAATATTAAAATTATAATTTTAAAATATATCCTGCCTTTAATGCAGTAAGTCTGTCCTGTATAGATCTCATTGTGTGTACTAATAAATGTGGCATTCCCCAAGCAATTAAACATCCTCCACGAATTAAATCAACAATAGCACAATGAAGTACCATAACATAAAAAACATTAACTAAAACTCTTCGACGATTTCGAATTAATGCAATAATTACAAAAGAATTTAGAAGAATACAAAGAACACCTAAAACATCACAGAGTAATATGGCTGCCATTTTTGCCTGTGAAAATTATTTATTGTTTAATTGATTAAAAATTTGGGAAGTAAATTTTTAAATTTTAGGGTAAAAAAAGTAAAGATTGAGGGAAATTTCTATGTATTAACTCCCCATCTCAGTGCTCCTTCATTTTTAAGCAAGGAATTAAAGCAACTCCTTTAATCAGAAATATAAACTAAGAAATTCACCGTCTCCAAAGATAATTTTTAAAATATTAAAAATAATTTTAACAAACAACAAACATCGTTAGAATAAACCCTTGGAAGAAAAATGGAGGGAGAAGATTGCCAGTCTTCTTCTCTTCCTTCAATTTCTCCAAATTCTTCATTAACAACTTCATCATTCCATTCCTCTTTAATTTTTTGAGGATTTATTTGCAGAAAAATAGTCATCAAAAATAAATATATTTATATTAAAATCTGAAGATAATTAAAAAAATTAAATTTATTCGATAATCAATGTCGGCCAAGATAACAATAATTATTCTTAAATTATTCTTGGGAGGTTTAATATACTTGGCATAGTTATGAGAGTTGAAGATATCCGTCAAACAAATCTGTAAGGGATCCCGAGACAGAAATCCCTGTCCAATACCAATCTAATTTTGTGGGAGTTGTGGTGGGTATCGAGAGTAAGCTCAGTTGGAATTCCGATATTCCGAGCTCTGAATTTCAGAGAAAATACGACATATAATATTCTTTTTCGTAAATATTTTAAAAGAAAATAGGGAGAGGACAGTAATTTATTTAAAAAATAATTTCCAAAGAATTGTCTGTAAAAATTAACATCAATAATAATATTCAGTTATTATTTTTGGCATTTTTAAAAAAAGAAAATTTTAATAAATATTTAATAAATAATATAAAGCTGAGTTGATTAAATATGAAACTTTTCGACTAAAAAAAGAAAATTGAAATAGACAGAAATGAGAAAAAATGGAAAAAGATGGGGGGCACTAACACCTCTCTCTCTCTGTTACTTAAATTTTGTTTACTTTTTATTTTACAGATTTTTTTAAATTAAAAAGTACATGTATATTTTTTATTATGCTTTTTATTAAATTAAATGTAAAAAAAGAAAAAAAATTTGGAGTTATTTTGATGTTTAGGTGTCCCCTACTCTAGCCATGAAAGTTTAAACGTAAAGGGATAAATCTTTACTTAAAGGATTAGAATAATAAGAATAATAAAGATAAAGAATAATAATAAAGAACAATAACCGTATCTGGAATAATTTCTGTATCTTGAAACTTTTTAACTGATTAAAGAATTAAAGGGTTAAATAAAAAAATGGAAATTGTCGGGTTTTCCAAAGTATAATATTTTAGACAAAGTAATTTAGAGAAAATGGCGAATCACGACTTTACAAAAGTTTCAGTGTTTTGAATACCTAAAAAGAATTTCTAGGAGTTCCAATCATCTCCATAAATTATTTTCGGGGCTTCTAGTATGATCCAGTGTTAAACTTGTAATTTTAAACAAAATATTTATTAAATAACCTCCAAAAAACAACAAATTTAGTAAATAAATAAATAAAAGAAAAAAATATTTAAAAAAAAACAACACACAAAAATTGAGTTGGAAATTACTTTAAAAAGAAAGAAATACTTGAAAGAATGCTTTAAATTGGATTTATACGAGCGCAAAAAATAGCAGCAATAAAAAAGGAAAAAATAAAAGAAAATTATTTTTTGAAGTTTTATTTAATATTAAAATAAAGAGAAACTAAATAATCTTTTAAACTTAATTTAAATTTAATTTTAAAAGGATGAAATAGGGAAGAAAGAAATAAATAATTATTTGGCAAGAATGGGGTATTAATTTTTAATTGAGATTTTATGAAATTTAAGTTTTGAAATTTTGATTTAATTTTAAAGTCATAATTTTATTTCAAGATATTAATTTAGATTTTAATTAATTATAGGATATTTTCAACTCTAAAATGATTAGAGAAAATTTAAATATGTATAATTTCAAAATCATTAAGTAAAAAGAAAAGCTAAGTAAAATTCTTTAAAAATAGCTTTTATTTATTCAAAATCAAAATAATATTTTTGTAAAAACTAACTAAAAAATATTTAAGTAATAATTTTAATTTCTCGAATATTTCCCCAAATACGTTTAATGATTAAACAAAAAAATATTTTGTTTCAAAATTTATTAAACAAAAAGCATTCAAAAAACAACATTTTTACTCTTCTTTCTGTTCTAAATAAATATAATATTTTATTTATTTTTTACTAAAAATAAATAAAATGCCGAAATTCAATCGTTTATTCTTTTTTAAAACAATTTATTAAATATAAGGGTTTTTAAATTTTGTATAGAGAGGCGGGTATTCTTTTAAAACACAAATTTATATACGTAATCTTTTTTTTAGTTTTATTTAATTTTTGTAGAAAAAGGAAATTGAAATAAATAAAAAAATGTTTTTTGGATTTTAATATTAAATAAAAATATAAAAATAAATTTATTTTGGTGAGAAATATGATAAGAGATATTTCCTTTTTGATATCCAAAAATAAATATTTATTTATTTATTTAATTAACCAAACCCTTTTTGTAAGTTACAATATTTGCAATAAGTATTTAAATATTATTGACATTATTTGCAAAGAAAATATATTAAAAAAACCGTTAAATCTCGTTAAGGTTTCGCCCTTTGGAGATTTGGATGGGATAATAACTGTAAAGGGATTGAATATACAAAGATAGAGGTGACTAAAACTTGTACAAAAACTTGCTTTGTCTACAATTATGATTGAGGTTTCTAGCGTATAACCCTACATATAATGATATAACCCCACATATTTAATGATAACTAAAATATAATTATTTTCTTATCTAATATTTATATCTAAAAATATACTTTTTAAATAAAACAAAAAATAAATATAAAACAAAAATATATTTAAAATTCAGTAGCTAATCCACCATTAGGCAATATTCTAGCTTTTGGTATTGTTAACGTTCCACTTCCATACATACTAACTGGTGGAGGTAAAGGAAATTCAAAATCATCTGAATTATTTGATTTCCATCTAAAAATATTTTAATTAAATAAGAATTTTATTTTTAGGAATAAATGGTAAAGCAGGATGGATTTAGCTATTGCTCTCCTTCAACTAGTACAAAAGGTTAATCGGCGGCTGGGAGCGAACCAGCATCTCCAGAAACGGACTGATGTGTTATCCACACTGCATAGCTTTAGGAATTAAATAGCTAGATGCTTTACAAAATTGAAAAACACTAAAACTATCTTATTATAGAATTTAAATAAATAATTAAAATGGAAAGCTAGCATTCAAAAAATATAATTTTTAATTTTGTAGCTAAAAATGTGTTGCTATTAAAGAAAGTTAAATCACACTCAAAATTAGCGATCAGACAAGGCATGATTTTAAAGCTAATAGTTATCCCCAAGTCCATTTTCTAGTTAAAATTCCCGTCTATATTTATATCATTGCAATCACCAGTATTTTAAAATAAACTTTCTTATTTTCTCCAAAAAACTACCTCAATTGTTGTTTTAACATTCCAAAAGGAATATAAGAATTTCTTTCATCCATTAAATATTCGTTATTTAAATAATTATTTTTATTTTTTTCTAAAAAAATTGAAGAAATTTTGTAATTATTATTTTGTTTTTTTAAATAATTTTTATTTATTTTGGAAGATTTTTGTTGACATTTTTTAATAAATTTAATTAAAATTAAAAATAAATAAAGTAAAGGTAATAATAAAGCTAAAATAATTATTAATATAAAAATTAATAAATTTAAATTTGTAAATAATTTTGTGGAATTAATTAAAGCAATATTTGAAGAGGAAGAAGAAGGAAGAATAAAAGAATTGTTAATATCAAATGACTAAAATAAAAAAAATATTTTTAAATTAAAAAAATGTTTGGGTTGATCGGCTAACTAAATTAAATGATTTTGAATAGAGTTCCGTTCCTAGCCTTCTATTTTTAGCTTAAATTAATTTTTCCTATATTAATCTTTTTTATATATATATATTCAATGCCATTATATTTAAACATTCCATAAAATGTTCTTTCCTAATTTAATATCTAATCCTAACGAAAATATACTTACCTTAAACAGTACTTAAACAAAGCCTAATGAAAATTTATATCTCAGGGAAAAATATTAAAATTTCTGGAGAAAAGATTACAAATAAATTAAACGGGTTTATTTATATGCATCTCCTAACATATTTTATATCAGACAACCCCCCAATATTTCTTTCCAAAAAACAACTTTATTTTCTCCCCCAATTATTAAAAATATTTATAATTTTTCTTACTTTTTCTTCAAATCCAATAATTCCAAATTTTTCTTTTAATTTATTTTTTGTTTTATTTAATTCAAAAATATTTTTAATTATCTGTAATCCAATAAAAGAATTAATTGGCTGGAATAAATTATCCAAAAAATAAATATTTAATATTAAACAATTTTCTCTTCCACATTGAAATAAACGATAAATTGGTATATATTTTATATTTAAATAAGTAGTATTTGTTAAATTGATATTGTTTTGGACAATTGAAGAAAGTATACTTTAAAAATAAAAAATTAAAAATTGTTCTTTATTTAGTATAGAATTTTAGAATTTTAATGAAAAAACTAGGTATCAAGAATACTTTCACTATTCTTTAAGTATTTTATAGTTTATAATTTTCTTACCTTTCCAATTCAATTAAATCCAAATCATCAATATCATTATTCCTGAATATATATAATTCTAATAAATGTTCATTTGGATTGAGCAGTGAAACCTTAAAGGATTTATTGGATTATTTTTTTAAATATTGGAGAGTAAAGTTGTTAGTGTTTCTTTCATTTAAATTCTGTTATTTAAATAAGTTGATCAGGGATAGGTTGATACACCCTAGAAGATAATAGTGTGTGAAAATGGGGGAGGTGTTCAAATAAAATAGGGCCTTAAAATCAACATATATAGTTAAAACAATAAAAATATTTCTAGTTTTCTTTACCGTAACAGTTGTTTGATCTTCATGTTGAGCAGGTGAAGGATCATTTACCCTTACTCGAAAAGTATATCTTTAAAAATAAATTAATTAAATATTTACTATAATTAAAATTATTAACGATTTAATTGCTGTTTTGGATAAATCAACATCCTCTTTAATTGACAATTCCCCAGTTGAACGATTTAAATTAAAAGGAATATTAGACATTGAAATTGGCTTGAGAAATGAGAAAAATAAATATTTTTAAAATTAAATCTACTATACTTCTCCAAAAGTTTGTATCATTCCTTCTCCCCAACTATAACGTAAACTGTATTTATCCCCTTCATCTAAATCATCAGCTTTTAATTGAAGAAAAGGTTGTTCTTTTTTACTAATATCAATAATTGCAGCAAAGAAGTGTTTAATTAGAAATTGGGGGGAATTATCGTTAATATCAATTATATTTATATTTAAATAAATAAATGATGAATAGGATGATGAATTGTCTTTTTTTGAAATACCTTCATTACACTTTTGCTTTATATTTGAACAATCTTCTACAATTATTTTAAGTTGATAGGAAGGTATAAGTTCTCTATCCAATCCTTAAATTTTCAATAATATTTTTTTATTTTAAGAAAGAAAATAATCGTATGTGATTTTTGAATTGTTTTTAAAGATTAAATTAATTTTTTTATTCAATTTTCATTTTCTCTTCGGTTATTTATAATTCTAAATTTCTTTGGAAATTTAAAAATTTTTAAATTTAAATTTGATTGGCTAGTGAGATGGAAGAGCTGCCTAAGTACCCCCCCCCCTTCTCAATTTAATATACGGAACGATTTTCGGGCTACAGGAGTGTTTATATTAAATATTAAAATGATATTTACATCACTAAATTTAAATAAAAAACCTTTAATTAAATAAATTTCAGGCCTTTCAGGCATTAAAATACCAAAAGTCTCCCCTTTATTTTCCACTAATTTATAACATTTGGATTTTTGTTCTTCACTTCCATCTAAATCTATCGCCTCGGGAAATTGATTTATTGGGATATTTTTATTTGGAATTTCGTCTTCTTTAATATCAATATTCCACTCCTTTTCTTCTTTTAAACAATTAAATTTTGGACAATTATCGTTTAAATCCAAAACTTTTATTTGTAAAAATAATTTTTGACATTCTTTTTTAATAGAACAAATATTAATTAAAATTAAATAAATATTTTGACGTTCATAATCAAAAGAATTTAAATATATAGTATTTAAATATTCTTTATAATAAAGTTTGCCATTAGTTGAATTTATAGAAAATTTATTTCCATCCTTTTTTAAAATAAAATATTTAATCTGTTTATCTTAATTACAATTAATTTTTGATTCAAAAAGAAAAACTAACAGAGAAGTCTTCTGGTACACCCCAGGTACCACAAGGCCAAGGTACCGCGGAGCTATAACTTAATTCAGAGTTATCGAATCCGGGACGCCTTGGTATGGTTCGATGCACCTCGACGAGCTCAATCGAACCAAGGCGCTCCGGATGCGACAAATTTGAACGAAGTTATAGCTCTGAGTACCTTATTTCCTCAAGATTTTTTAATAAAATCTTGAGGAATTTTTTTAAATATAATAAGTACATATACTTTCTTGATAATAAATGGAAATTAAATTCTCTTTAATAAATTAGATTTACTCTGTAATATTTAATCCTAAATTTAATTCTTATTCATCTCAATATTTTTTAGAATTAAATTAATAAAATAATTTACTTTAAAATTCTCAAAAATTGAATAAACAACATTAGGACTGTCAGTTATAATAGCTAAAAGAGCAGGTAAATCTTGATTCTAAAAAATATGGAATAATAATTATCTTAAATTAATAATTAATTATTTACTTCGGGAAATAAATGTATTGAATTATTTGAAGGCCAAAGCACCTTAATTTGGCTTTCTTCTAATTTGGGTATTTCCACACAAATATTTTTTGATTCAAAATTTTTTCGAAAAGTTAATTTTAGAATAACACAATGAAGATTGGAAGTTTGTAAATTTAATAATTTATTTTTTAATATTAATAATTGTTGGCCTCTCAATTGAAATAATTCTGTAAAATGAAAATAATTATAAATTAACTAATTAATTAACTTTTTAATTAATTAACTATAAATTACTTAAATTATACTTAAATTAATAATACTTAATTTAAATTAATTTAAATAATTCAAATAAATACTTAAATTAAATTAACTAAAAAAATTTAAATTTTTAAACAGAATTATTATGTTTTATAATTTACAGAAATAAGCTTATTTGCTTAACTCGAAATTTAAATATATTATTTTAATTTTTATAAAAATCTTTGTTTAAAAAACATAGTAATATTATCAGCAGTAGAATTGTCGCTGCTAACTAAATCAACCGAGCTTCTGGATATCCAAAAAATATTTCAAAAACCAATACCTCTACTCAAATTTTTAAAGAAACTATTAATTAATAGCTTCTTGTATATTAATAAATTAATGGTAATTTCTCTAAAATTAAATTATTACCATTTTTATTATTCTCTAAATTAACATATTTAACCAATTCTTCAGGAATTTTAATTAATTTAATAAAATCCTTTCCTTCTTCAAAATTATTATTTCCAGATTTTAATTTAATTATTATTGTTCCATTTTCATTATTTTTTTCTTTAAATTCATTTTCTAACCATTTTTTAAATTTATTAATTATTGAATTTATTTTTACATTTATTTTTGCCAATAAATTATTTTCTTTATTTAATTTAATTTCTGCTTTTAATATTGGAGTATTTTCAAAATTTAATGGTTGGGAAATTTGGATAGAGCCATTAGGTAACATTTTTAAAGAATTACTTCCATCTAATTGAATAAATTGAATTGAGGAAGTTTTGTCTTTTAAAAGAGAGAAAATTTAATTTAAAAATTGAAAAAAAGAGTTAGAAATGGAGAGCAGGCCAACGTACAGCGAGCCCAACGCACCGCAGATCTATAACTTTTTTCAGAATTATCGAATCTGGGACGAACTGACATAGTTCGATACAACTCGGCGAGCTGTATCTGACCATACAAGGGAGGCCCGGATTCGACAATCTTGAACAAAGTTATTGCTCTGCGCGTTGGGGTGTACCCTAGAAATGAGAGGGGATCTCGAAGAAACGTTGGGGGAATTCCTAAGATCTGCCAACCTTTACTCGTCCTTTTAATAACCCTTTTCCAAGCTTAGTCTTACCTTTCAAAATATTTTCCTTCAAAAAACTTACTTAAGGAAGGTAAAGGAATATGTAAAAGTTCTAATCCAACAGGCGCATCTTCACTAAGAGATTCAACATTAAAAGTTTTGGGTATAATATTTTTAATAATTTGTTCTTTAATTGTTTGTAGAGTTGTTGATTTTATTTTTTCTTCATTGTTATTTCTTCTTTTCACAAAAGTTATTAGGGGAACTAAAAGTAAATAAAAATATTTTTATTTTTTAGAAAAGGGAATAATTATTTCCACGATTCTAGATGGTACGAAAAGTTACCCCCCCCCCTCCCCCCCTCTATACTTTTCAAACAAACCAGTAAATCCTTTTGTTGTTGTTTCAATTGTAATATTTTGTTTGAAAGAAATATTATTTCTAAAATTTGAATTAAAAAATATTTCATCCTTCTCTTCATCAAATCCATTCTCTTCCTCCTCTTCTTTATTTTCTTCTTCCTCTTCCCCCTCATTTTTATTTAAATTATTTGCTATATCAGAAACAGCCACAACATTAATTTTAATTTCTGCTGTATTTGACCTTTTATGTGTAATTCCAGCTCCATCTCTAGCCAAAACTTTAATTGAAGCTCTTTCCCCTTCAAACATTGACTCTTTTAATCTTAATTCAACTGAACATTTTGGCCATTTACATTGTGGGGAATTTAATGAAAATAAAGAATTATTTTTGTTGTTTTCAGATATTAAAGAGAATCTACTAATTCCGCCAATACCTTGGTCAAAATCTATAATTTCCAGACGACGAATTAAAAAGCCTGGAGGAGAGCCCTGTTAAATTAATTGTTAATTTCTTAGGGTTTTTAAAAAACTAACAGCAGGAATAATTAATTCCAAAGGGAAAGGACCTCCCAAAAAATAAGGAGGATTATCATTAACATCGACAACTTCAATTTGAAGTGTTGCTCTGTCTTTATTACTTAAATCCTCAAATAATAAAGAATAAGATTGTGAAGAAGGAGAAGAATTGATAGAAGGATATTTTTGGGTTTCTCCATTTTGATTGACAAAAATATTTGACGAAGGAAGAATGGCCTAAAATAGAAAAATTTTTTATTTAAAATTTCATTAATTAGTTTTTAGTTTTTCTTTCTTCCTATCAAAATAATCAAGAATATCTGTTTAATTAAAATTATCTTTGTGTATTCCCCCTTTTAATCTTTACTTCTTACCATTAACAGAATAAAATATCATTTTCCTATCATTCCTTAATTCTGAAGAATTTTAAAATTAAAAGAAATCCCTCCATAAATCCCCAAATTAAATTAAAAATTAATTTAAAAAATAAAGATTCCTGATCAACATCCAATTCTTCAGTTAAAATTAATCCCGAACAGCTTTCATTTAATCGAAAGATTTCAAAAGGTAATTTATTCTCTATTTTTCTTTCATTTTCAAAATTTAAAGATTTTGTATTAGAAATAGATAATTCTAATGGATTTTCGATTGATTTATTATCATCTGAACATATTTGGACATCTAAAAGCTTTCCAGAAGGCCAATCTTCATCGAGAAAATAAACATCAGGCGGATAAATGGATAAATGACCAAAAACTGAGAAAAATAAATAAAAATTTAAAGAATTTTTGGATTTTAATTTGGGTAGTACCCCGTCCCCCGAAACCCCGACCCAACCCCGATGAATTTCTGGGCAAAAACCCCGACCCGAACTCCGAAGGCTCTACCCCGAGAAGTTCCGATCCCCGACGATTCCGCCTTTGAAGGCTCGGGGTGCTACCTTAATTTTAATCATTAAAAATTATGTTTTAGAATTAAATAAAATTAAAAAAAGGAAAATTTGTAAAATTTAATAGGTAAATCCAAAAAATTAAATTAAGAAAAATGACTGAGATTATTTTTTAGTAGAATTAATGTTAAATAAAATGTTAAAATTTTTTTACTTAATTTAATTTAAAATCTTAGTAAGAAAATAGAAAATAAAATTAAAAACACAAGAAATGTCTCAATTTATTCTCACTTATTTCTGTTCAAAAAATTATATTGTTAAAATAATTTACATAAAAATAATAAAATTACCAGATTGAAAAGCAAGTTGAGCAAGTAAATGAGTAAAAACTGATGGAATATAATTACCAAAATTATTAAAATATTTATTCATTTGTGATTTATTTTATTAAGAATAAAAGAGGATTTGATTAAAATAAATAAATGATTATTAAAAAAGAGAGAAGTGAGAACAATAAAAGAAAATATTTATTAAGTGGATATTTTTGTTGGAACATTTTATTTTTATTTTAATTGTTTGGACAAGGACTTTGAAAATATTTTTCTTTCAAAAGTCTATAAACAAAATAGTTTCGGATTTAAATTCCATGCTTCATTTTCCGATTAATCCATTGAGTAAAGAGATGGGGAATTATTTAAACAAAGAATTGTTTTTAGTTAATCGCTAAATAATCGCCTTTCTATTAATTCTACTTGTCCTTAAATTTATTTTTTAATAAAACAATCTTGTAGAAATCTACAAGTTTTTCTAAAATTTAATTTATTAAGTTTATAAGAGTATCAAAAAGTTTCTTAAAAAGATTTCTAGAAATATTTAACTGTTAAAACAATTCATTTAAAAGTTAAAACAATTCATTTATTTGAAATTCTTCTTAAGTTTAACTCAAAAATTCTGCTCAATTTATTGTAGTATAATTTAAAATATACATAATGGTTAATTATTAAAAACAAAAGATTAAATATAAGAAGAGTTTGACACTTGCCCCTTATTTCAGCAATTTTAGAATGAGTAAAACGGGATAAAATTTATATTGAACAGAAGAAAACTAAAATCAAGTCTAAAATCTTGTATGTAAATACTAGAAGTTAAATTGAATGTACATATTTTTCAATTATTATAATGATAAATAGATTAAATTCCTAAAAATCCTTATTGCTTAAAAATTACAAAACTTCTCTCAAAATTATTTTGAATAAATAAAGCAATGATTAATATTCTCACTTTTAATTCACTCTTCCTTATTTTCTCCATACTTTTAGGTATATACATAATAGTAATTCAAGCAACAATCAACAAGTCAAAACTTCCCGCGCGTACAATTAAAGTTATAGGGAAAAATTGTTTTGGGGGAAAAAGAAAGTGCTCAAAAATAAAAATAAGAAGATGACTATTTTGGAAGAAAATCATTAGTGGAGTGGAACAAATAAAAATAATTAATTTGTTGAGATAATAAATAATTTGAATATTTTATTGTTTATTTATGATTATTTATTTATATGTATAGGCATGTACTACATATCAGTGATATCTCGGGTCACTGATATCACTTTTTTCCTATCCGAAGCCCGATCCGAAGAAAATTTTAAAATCCCGATATGAAACCCGATTTTACTGTTTTCTCAATCTTTGTCAACTGCAAAAAAGATTTATTTAATTAATTTTATTCTATCTGCACAAACTTTTAAAACATTTATTCAATTATTTTTTGCAAATACTTTCAAAGTTTTGACTTAGCGTGTTACACCAACACTTTTACGGCCAAGCACAGCATTAATTAATAATTCGTTATATTCTGCTCGCAGTTCCAATGCCTAATAAAAAATATTTTAAAACTAAAGTTAATAAAAGTACAGGGAATTTTAATATATTAAATTTAAACTTGAAATTCATTTACCCGTTGTTTTGATGGTCCATAATCTAGTTTAGTACGTAATTCAGTTAATTTTTCATCAAGCAATTTCCTTTCTTTTTCTATTTGATCCACACGACTTTTTAATTCGCGCAACTAAAATAGAACAAAAACTGAAAATAGACAACTAGAATACAGCAATTTTTGATTTGCTAGTTATGGGGAACGGATGGCCAATATCAACTGGATAATATTGAGAAGCGGTCCTTAATACTGGACTCGATCTATGAAAATAGCCAATCTACTATATTCTTTGCAGAATTAAAATTCGTCTTACTAAATTAATTTACAATTATGGTTGGCATAATAACTAGATTAATTCTGAGAGATAGCCCAACATAAAGCGGCAACTTTACTTAAAATAATAATTACTCTATTCATTTCATATCCTCCACCCCCAAATCTACTCTCTTCTGCTTTAATTTGTGCTTCAAGTCTCTCATTTTCTGCCTCCAATCGACTCAATTCTTCTTTTAGAGAATCCCTTTTTGCTTGAAGTTCCTTTGTAATTTAAAAAATATTTTTTTAATACTGGAAAACAAACTCTCGATTTAGATCTAAATTCTTTTTTCTTTTCTTCTATATTAGACATTTTATCAATATTTTCATTTATTTCTGTCTGTTTTGTCTTCATAGAGGATAATTCTGAACATAAAAGTGCTTCGTTCTGTTTAAGAGTTATTAACTCTTCTTGGAGACGGACATGCACTAAAAATATAGTTTAGTAAATTAAATAGAAAAATTTTTTAATTTTTGTTTTCCTCTACGAAGGATGTATCCAAGGGATCGTGGAGGAAAACCTTTGTTTATGGCTATAATGGAAAAGAATTATTTTATTACTGTCTAAACGAAGGGTTATTCGGATCCTTCTTTATTCTGACATAATTTAAAAATTTCTAAGTAAAACTCACAATCTTGTAATTCATCAGCACTAACAGCAGAACTACCCAATGCTAACAAAGATTCATCCAAGCCTGTAACATTCGTAACTATTTCTCCATGACGGCAATTTAACGAAATTAATTGTAATTGTCGAACAATTTGCTTTGCAAGAGCGGATATCCTTCCCTCAATTTGTCTCTTAGATTCGTCAAAATTGTCCTTTTTGAAAAATTATTTTTATTTATTTTTAATTAGAATTACTAAAGAATTGGGTTAGAAATAGAGCCCGGCTTGATTTTCCTCAAGTTATTCGATATTCGAACAAAATACCAAAGAACCTTAAAGGCTCGGTATTTTTGGTCCAAGTATTATTTTAGACATTTATCTTTTTGAAATCTTAGAAAGGTATAATAGACATATTTGAAATAACGGAAACATCTTGGTAGCCTAGAAAAATTCCAAGACTTGGTTATTTTATTAGTTAAAAATTTAATCCTTCATAAAAATCAACTCAAGCTATAAAACACCTTTAAAATACTCATTGGGTCTTGCCAACTTATTTCAAAAAATTACCAAAAAATTATCCATTTGTGTTCCTCTAGTTTTCAACTCTCTAAATTTTTCACTTTTATCACCTGCCAATAATTCAAATTCATTTTGGAATTCTTGAAGTTCTTCTTGTGCTTGTGCCATTCTTTCATTAATTTCTTGTAATTGTTCTTGCATATGCCCAATTTCTTTATTATCTTTTTGTATTTTTTGAATAAAATTATCTCTTTGTTCTTCTGGTGTTTGTTCTGATTGAAGTTCGGCAACTATTTGGGCACGTTTTTCTTTCATTTCTTGTAATTGTTCCTCCATCAACACTTTAATTTGGAATTTTTAAATAAAATAAATTGAATTTTAATTGAATTCATAACAAGAATATTTAACTTTTGGAGTCAAGAATGGACGAATTTTGACTATACTAAGATGGGGATTAGACTGATTGTGGACTTCGGGGACTTCGGGGATTTTATTTATAAAAGAAAAATTCTAACTCAAAGGAAATTGAAATTAAAAAATTTCAAATTTCTTTACTTGTTTGACGTTTAAGAGGCGAATTAGCCAATGCCATATCCATTTCTTCTTTAGTTTTTGTTAATTCTACCAACTCGGCCTTTTTTCTTTCCATTTCATTACGTAAACTTTCTACTTCTGTATTTACTTGATTAAATTCTTCTTTTACTTCAATCTCCTTAAAAATTTTATTTAGTTCGTTTAATTCCAAATTATTTACAAGCACTCTCATCCTTTCATTATTTTCTGTCCTTAATCTCTCTGTTCGCTGTTCTAATTCTTGAAGTTGTTCTTCACGTAATCGACGTTCACGAAAAAGTTCTTCAACTTCAGCCATTAATTCTTAATTTAAGAAAAACTTTTAGAGGAGTTCAAAAACTCTATACTTTGGTTAGCTAAAGCGGTTTGGTCAGCCTCTGCTTCTAAAGAACGCAAATTTGTATCTGAATGAGTATTTTGACGGTCAATCACCTAAGCAAGTAAAAAGAATATTTCTAGATTCTATCATAATAGATCAGAATTAGTTTAATTAAAGGAGGGTCAACTATTCTTCTATTTCTCCTCAGGGATACAAAATATAAGTTATAAATTTTAGGGATGTTGTAGATAAATTAAAAAGTTTTCTTGCAAAATTAAGGATATTTTATATATTTTATTTTCATAAAACATCTAATTTTTCACCTAATTAAAAAATATATTTTACCAAATTATAATCAGCCAAAAGTCCTTGTAATTGTTTTAATTCCTGTGCTTGTTCCTCAGCTCTAAAATATATTATTAAAGTCTTTATAACTCAAACCTCTGTTCATAAGCTAATAAATTTTCTCTTCCTTTTTCTGCTTTATCTAATTCTTCATTTAAATTCCCCAATTCAATCTCCAATGCATTCAATTTATTATGTAAAAGTCCAATATAATAATTAGCATCCGCTATCATTCTTCCCCCACCCATTGCTGCTAAAATTATGATTTTCCTTCTTTTAGATTTTTTTCAACAAACTTCCCATTCTACTTCCCATTCTAGAAGCTATAGCAGCAGCTCTAGCCCCACTAACTCCTTGTTGAGTTATCGGACGTTGCTGGGCAGCAGCAGTTCCAAGAGGTAATTGATGGGCAATCATTTGACGAGACATTGTTCCTGGACGTGGACCCATAGCTGTAGTAGAACGATTTAATGGACGATTACCCTTTTATTGCAAAATTAATCTTTTTTGTAAAATTTTTAAATATACAAGAGCAGTTCCAGGTACACCAACACCTGCTGCAGTTCCAACTCTTGAGCCTACAATCATTAAGATTGTTTACTTCTTGATTAGAGCTAATAAATTTTATTACCTGCTCTACTATAACCTCTTGGAGGAGCAGCTGAGACAATAGCATTTGCAACCATTCCAATTCTGCTTTGTGGACGTGCAACAGTTGTTGATGGGGCTATAGCCATTTGTCTTGAAGGGGGAACTGGACCAAAAGAAGAAGCCGAAGAGGGAGGTCTTTCAGAATCTATAAGAGAAAATCATTCCTAAATTCCCCAAAATTATCCAAACTTCTTCCAGCCGTTTTTGGCCGTCGTTGTGCTGCTGTACTTGGACGGGCTGAAGGAGGTCTCTGCCTGTATTGATGGTCCATTTCGTGCTTCAATTATTTAGATGAAAAAATAAATATGAAAATTCTAAGAAAAATAAAATCATAAAAATAACAAAAGCAAATTTTTATTAGCTTCAACATTGTTGCTTAGTAACCAAAATTTTTAGTTTATTAAAGTTTTACAAATAAAATTTTTATAATTAAACAATTTTCTGTCCCATTTTATTATCATTTTATTTTTTAACACCAATTTCCCATTATTTCTTAAAATTGTTCTACTTAGACGAGATGATTTCGTGCTTTTTTATTTTACCAAAAATTTTCGATTTTAAAGTGAATTTAAAATAAAAATAATTTCATAAAAATTTATCAACTTTTTGGAATATATTTTTATCTACTACATTATCGTTTAAAATTATTTTTCTTCTTCATCATCATCATCATCCTCTTCTGGTTCAATCGTTGTAGAATTTCCAAAATTATTCTCTAAAATTTCCTCATCTTCCAATTTCAAACTGGGCAAAGTTGTTCCTTCATTATGCCCGTTAAATGGATGAAAACAGTTGGGAGGAGGTGGTCCAGGAATGACGGATTGAGGGGCAGGCACAAGGCAACGAAGTGGGGGATCAGCAGCTTCTAACAATTGATGTATCTGTTGGCATTCCTCAGTGCGTGTTATTCCCATATTTTGGCGAATATCCTGAACGTAATATTTAGCAAAAAGGAGATATTAGTATAATAAAGCGATAAAACCCTTCCCAAGAAATGACACAAGATTCGATGGGATTGATCTACTTATCTTACTACTGAATGTATTAGGAACAGGAACAGAAAATATTCCTTTTAAGACCAAAGGCTTTTACCCAAAGTTTGTTGTACAAAGTCAATGCTGATCCGGCCAGCCATTTATTCAAATTATCATAAGAAGTTTTCACATGTTGTTGAACAGTTTGTGTGTAATTGTCATATTCTGTTTGTAATCCATTATCTTTTGCCCAACCATCTAATTTTGTTTCAATTTGCGCTTTTGTAACATTTGAGGAAATTATTTGAAAAAATTGACGACGTGCGGGAACAGAAACATTTCGAATTAATGCTGATGGAAATGGGTGATGACCGTGACCATGTGGTGGTGGTGGTGGATGGAAAGGAGCAAAAGAGAGAACGGAGATTGGAAATAATATAAATACAAAGAAAATCATTTTAATTATCTAAAATTACTTAGAAATATAGTAATGCTAGGAGGGTAGGCTGATCTTTCGTATCTATAACTAAATGCAAATTTGGCCGAAGAGTGATTTTGATATCAATCACCTAAATATTAAATAAAGTAAAAGCCCCATGTTTACAATGCTTTTCATTTACAATGCCCCTAACAAAGAGTGATCTTTGACTCCATAAAAAAGCTGACGATATAGTATGTCGAATCAGTCAAAATAATTAAAAGTGTTGAAGCAGACCGGGCTTGAGCAGATTAGAGTGTATTCCATTCTGAGAAAGACTAAGTAGTTAAATAAAAATTATATAAAATATTATTTTTTAAAAAATTATTAAAAATAATTATCAAAATAAATGCCCAATCTAAGTATTTGGCCATTAAATATACAAAATTTTATCAACACTATTATTATAGTGATCATTAAAAATAATCTAAATTTGTTAAAAATACGAGATTTAATTGAAAAAAGAGGATTAGAATATTAAATAAATAATCATGGAGAGGATATTTAGAAAATAATGAATAAAATTTTTATAAATTTTTTTAAATTTGGATTTATAGAAAAAAATTCTTGAAAGTATGTAGATAAATTAAACTTTAAGGACTGGCAAATGATGGAGGGCATTGTAAACTCTTAAAGCTGATTTGACTTGTTGAAATAGACAACGCTTAATTCTTAATCAAGGATGGATCCAATTATAGAAAAAGAAATTAACAAAAGAATCATCATTATAATTACTCTTATTTTTAATTTCATTAACAAAAAATATATAAAAATATATAAAATCCACTTTGATAATTGTTTTTAAATTTTTTGTTTAATGTCATTTCCTTATGATCTTTGTGTAAAGAAAACTTATTAATTTGAAATTTACTTTTTGCCTTCTTCATAGTTTAAAATTTTTATTTTTTATAGGAGCATTTTTCTTCAAAGAATTATCAAAAATGAAGGCAGCTTCGACCAAACAAAAGTTCCGAATTTTTTCAATCCTGTACATAGAATATCTAAACGTTAAATATATTTAATCACATTCTGTTCAGTTTTATATAGAGAGAATTCAAAATTAAATACCTCTTTCTTATCTTTAATTTTTTTATTTAAAAAGGCCAAATTCCAAAATTTTTATTTTTTAACAATTTATTTTAACTAATTTTATTCCCTTAAATTAAAAAATATGTGTATTTTAATTTTCAATTAAAAACTTAAGTACCTCTAAATAATTTAGTCAAGTGTGAAAAAAAAGAAAATTTTTCTTTGAATAAATTCTTTGTTCATTTATTGTTTTCCATTTAAATACTGAAAATTGGGAAACATTGAAAAATTTTTTTTTAAAATGATCAAAAATAATTTTAAAAAATTGTTCAAGTTTAGATTAATATTTTAATACGTTAACTAAAAATTCAATCGTTTGATATTCACAACCTAAGTTCTCAAACTCTTCAAATAATTTTAAGGATTTTTAAAAATCCTTAAATTAATTTTAGTCGACTACATGAAGAAAGAGTTTAGCAAAAGCTTTGCCACCGGGCAGAATTTGAAACTGTGATCTCATCGTAGTTATTATACATATACAGGAGCTCTACCACTGAGCTTCTGGGCCATCAACTAATTCTCTTCTATCTTTTTAGATCGTTTAACCCCCGCCCTAAGGCTTTAGGTGAATCATCCTTACAATGATTATTGAGTTAAGGTAAGATCAAAGTTTATATTCACAATTAGCCCTATCTCTAATAGGTATATTTTTAGAGTTATTCCAGACACTCTCAAGCATTTCTTTAACGTTTATTTAAATTTTATTTACCCAATTTTATTCTTAATTTGTGTCAAAATTATTTTAAAAAACTTCCTCATAATTTATTATTTAATCTTAAAGTAATTGTATTTATTTGTTTTAAAAAGTCTTTTGGTTTCCTTAGAGCTTTTCTTATTTTATTTGAATAAGAACACTTTTATTTACTCAAGAAAAAGCTTTTTCACATTCGTCGCTAAGTAATAAATATTTAAATAATAAAGAAGTAAATTATTTAAAGGTGTTTTTTACTATTTTTATAACTTTATTTTATTTAATCTTTCTTCTTATTTTGTGTTTAGTTTATTAAACGAGCACTAAATTTGTGATTTTTGAATGAAATTGTGGCAAAATAGGTGTGAATATTTTTGGATTCTTGAAACAAAAAATGTTTTTTAAATACAATTATGTAAATATATAAAGATATTTTAAGTCATGTTTAATGCTAATAGTATTTAATAGAAATTATGATTTATATATGTGATTTGTGATTTTATAACTAAAAAATCACCTTTTGTGATTTTATAACTATATTTCTAGGTACTATTGTATTATCGGTTCTCAATTCTTTAATTTTCTTATATTCCTCCTCTCTAAAAAATTATCTAATATAAAAAATATGTTTCATTATTATTTCTGAAGCTAATTTTCTGCTATTTTTAAGTAGAACTGGTTCCCTACCAAATGCCAAACTTTAATTTAATTCTTGGCCAGTATCCACTATTGACCGTTGTTTAATAAGAAAAGGCGGATTAAGTGATAATTATTTTAAAATCAATTATTTTTTACCAATTATTTTTCAAAAAAAACTAAAAATCTATTAATTTATTTAAATCTTACATCATTTAGCTAAATACAAGCGCAATCCTCATTGCAATCAAATAAGCGGATTGCATCATTTCCCCCCTTTACCTTTCATTCCCAACATTCCCCCCATTGCTTCTGTTTTAAAAAAAAGCTTTTTCTATAAAGCTAAAAACATTATATATTTATTTCAACATTCTCTCTTATCTAAGTATTATTAGAGAGCTGCTTTTCCTCATTCTGTCTTTCTCACTTGTCATTTTCCCATCAGTTATTTTTTGGCCAAATATTATATATCCTTCTCTGTTTATTTATTTAAAGCTGTAAAAATATTAAATTACTTAATAATTTTAAATTTATTTAACTAAAAAATTTTATATATTTCAATTATTTTAGAGAAAAATTTAAAAATTCCTTCCTTCATTCCTCTTTTTAAATAATTATTTTTTAAATTTTCTCATTTATTTTTTATTAAAATTTAAATTAAATTTGGAATTTAATTTAGAAATTATCTCTTAATTAGAAGTCATTTTTCTACCCAAAAATGACTCTTCCTCGAAAATCTTCCAATTCTTCCTCACTCTCTTCCAATTCAAAAGCTAAATGGTTACGTCAAAATGCTCTTTTAACTTTAACTATTGGGGCTGTATTTATTGGTGTTTTGGTTGGGTGTGTTGGTCGTTTGGGTGAACCGAGTGCTAATACTGCTAGATTTGTTGGATTTCCTGGAGAGGTATTTTTTAATATTTTATTTCTAAAATTATAAGTATTTTACATTATCTCTCCCATTGAAATTTCTCTCAACTAAGTACCTCTTCTAATATTTAAATAATAATTAAAGCTAGCTATAACTTGAAAGAGAAAAATATCCCTTAAAAATTCCTTGGATATTAAAATTAAAATTCTTTTAAAAATAAAAAAATATTTAAAAAGTTGTTAATGAGAATGCTTAAATGTGTTATCCTTCCACTCATTTCATCTTCTCTAATTACTGGTCTTGCACAACTTGATGTTCGTCAATCGGGTAGAATGGGGGCTTTGGCTATTTTATATTATTTGGCTACTACTGGAATTGCTGTTACTGTTAGTTTTTATAGAAAAATTATTTAATAATTTTGAGCTTGAGAGAGTTAATTTAGAAAAAAATTATTTTCGTTAATCTCTACACATTTCTTTTGGCCGAAAAAATTATCTCAAAAATTAAATGAGTAAGAGTTACTAGAAAGAGCGCTATAATATAGAATTCTGGCTATATTATAGCGCTCTTTAATCTTCTGTTTTAATAAAAATTTTCTATAGTATAGAAAATTTTTATTAAAACAGAAGGATGTTTATTATAGAGGGTTAAATATTGTATATGACCAAACAATAAATTAAAATTTGGCTTTCAAAACATTTTATGCCCTTTAAGGGTTTTACTAACAATTAAACTAAGGGGATTACAATATATTTGTTATTAAATAAATAAATTTCAGACAGGCATAATTCTTGTAATTGCAATACACCCAGGCAATCCTGCCCATTACCCTGGCCAACAAAATACAAAAAATCAGCCAATTATAAGTATGGCAGATACTTTAATGGATTTAATTAGGTAAAAGAATTTAAAAAAATATTTTACAAGAAAATATTTATTTAAAGAAATATATTTCCCGATAATTTAATCCAAGCAACAATGCAACAAACACAAACAAAAATAGAAAGAATTAATGGATCTGATGGAATTTTAATTGAAAAATTTAAATTGGGGCATACTGATGGAATGAATATTTTAGGTATTTAAATTAGTTTAAGTATTTTAAAAATTAAAATGAATTTATTTTTAGTAAAAGGGCATTTTGAAAATCGAAATTAAATTTTGAATAACTAACAAGTCACACAAACTCACAAGTCTCACAAAAGTCTTACAAACAAGTCTTAACAAAGAATTTCGTAAATTCAATGGTCTTATCGTATATGTATAAGATGTTCGATAACCTAGTGTAACTTTCTAAAAAAAATTTTCGGCTCAAGACATAAGGCCATCTTTTCCGAAATTTTTGATTATGTTAATGCCCTAGTAAGCATATCTTGTATCTACATATATCTTTTTTAATGTTGGCATATTAGTAAGATCGAACATTGTATTTAATTACTAAATATGTTGTTATAGTTAAGTGTTATTAAATTAATTAATTTTCAGGTTTAATTGTTTTTTGCATTGCTTTTGGTATAGTATTGAGTCAATTAGGACCTAGAGGTCGTCCTATGGTTAGATAATTTTTAATATTTTTATTCTTTCACAATTTTTGTAGGTTGACTTTTTTGCAATTCTTGATTTGGTCAGTATGCGTTTAGTTTCTTTAATTATGTGGTTAGTTTAATTTAAAAACGATTTTAAAATATTAATTTTATATAAAGGTATTCACCAATTGGCATCTCTTCTTTAATTGCTAGTAAAATTCTTTCCGTTGAGAATCTCACTGACACAGCTAATAGTTTAGCCATGGTTGGTGTTAAATTTAAAATTTAAAGTTAAATAATTGAATTAAAAGTAAAAGAATCGAAAGTTAAATTATTCTCTGTTTTTATTGATAATTTTCGTTTTATAAGTGTCTGGAAGGAGGGCTTATCCTCAATATCAAAGCCTCCATTCTTAAATTCAAACATTACCACTCCAAATAGTTTACCTATTTTAATTTTTAGTAATTTTACTACCTCCGAATTTAATTTTAAAAATTATTTCGCCAATCAATTCCATCCCCTAATTTTCTGAAAATTAATTTTTTATTATTTTTCCAGTATTGCTTAACAGTCATTATTGGTCTATCAATCCATTCACTCATCTCCCTTCCATTGCTTTATCTCTTCCTAACAGGCAAAAATCCTTTTGTTTTTGCCAAAGGTTTACTTCAAGCAATGGCTATTGCTTTTGGAACAGCCTCCTCTGCAGCTACATTACCAGCTACTTTTCGTTGTTTGGAACAGAATTTGGGTATTGACAAAAGAGTTACTCGTTTTGTTTTACCTGTTGGGGCAACAATTAATATGGTGAGGGGAAAGGGAAGAAGATTTTTTTAATTAAAATTTAAAGGATGGAACAGCGTTATATGAAGCAGTTGCAACTATTTTTATAGCTCAAATGAATGGAATGGAACTTGGATTGGCTCGAATTGTTGTTGTTAGGTGATAAATTAATTATTAAAAATAAATTGTTAATTTTTTTTATTTTTCAGTTTGACAGCTACATTAGCATCCATTGGAGCTGCCTCTGTCCCACACGGGGGTTTAGTAACTGTTGTAGTTGTTTTAACAGCTGTAGGATTGCCGGTTGGGGATGTCTCCTTAATTGTTGCCGTTGATTGGTTTATGTAAGGAAATTTTAAAAATTTTTCTAAAAATTTTTGTAATTTATTTCAGTGATCGGTTCCGAACAGCAATTAATGTTCTCGGAGATGCTTATGGTGCTGCTATAGTCCATCACCATTCCAAAGAGTATTTACCCGTTGAAGGAGATGGGTTGTTGGATAAACAAGAAGGGGGAAGTGAATTAATGGCATTACCAGAAAATGGACGGCTTTTAGCTGAAAAGGAAAGAATTGAGGAGAAAGGGAAATATTATTCACCTTTAAGTATTAGTCCGGCATAAAAATAAATTTTTGAAAATAATTCCGCCAAACTTTGCCAGTGAATATGAGCTTAAAATAACATTTTTTTGCATTTTTGCATTTGTTCCTATTTATCCGGTGTTTTTATAATTTTTTTATTTAAATTGCATAATTATTTTTTAAAGTGAATAAAAATTAATAAAAATACACAAATTTGTGAAATTTTAAATAAATTCCAAATAAAAAAATATTCATAATAATTAAAAGGTTAAAAATATTTTTAGTTAGAAAAGACACAAAATAAAATTTAGATTCGATTATTTTATTAAAGAATTTATTTCAAATAGAACAGATAAAAGCTCACGGGAATTTCTTATATATACATATAATAGGAAAAAAAATTTACTTTATTTGTTAAATAAAATTTTCTTATATAAATTTTTATTATACCCAATGATTTACTTTAATTTATAGGAATTAAGAATTTTGAAGATTCTCCCATTTAAAAGGTAGGAAATGCCGAAAATCTGAAATCTAAATAAGATTTTCAAGTCAGAGATTGATTTCCGGTGCTCTGCTCGCTTATCCGAGAGGGCATTTTTGTAAAATAAGTTAAGACAATCAAAATATTATAACGTTTATCTTGCTAATTAAACGAAAGGGTTTTTAGAAAATTAGAAGGAAACTTTTTTATCAAAATTTAAATAAAAAACATTAAAGATTATAAATGACAATAATAATAGCAATTGCAGCTAAACCCGAAAAAAGCAATAAAGGTACAAGTAACCAAGCTAATAAACATTGAAATTTTGTCCATTTTTTTGTTTGTTTTTGTTCTTTAATTAATTTTCTTCTATTTTTTGAATTATTTGATAATTCTTTTTTAGATTGTTTTCCACATAATTTACTCCAGAAACTTTGTTGTTGCTTTAAAATTATAAGAATAGTAAATATTTTTTGTGAGAATTTTTATTAAAAAATATTTTTTTAATTTACCTCAATATTATCATTGCCAGTTCCCTCAACCACTCTCTGCATTTGTTTAGATTCTACAACAACTAAAGGTTCTTCACTAGATTTGGAATCATATACTAATGTTGGGCAGTTAATATTTGATGGTTCTGGTATAAGCTCGTTTTTGGTTGGCTAAAAAATTTTTTATTGAAGAAAAGCAACTTTGCTAAGAAATTAATTACCCACATTTAAAAATTTTGATTAAAAATGAAAGTTGTGGCTAAGATATGCCTATTTTCTGATCAACATTTTTTTAACTTTTATTATAAAAATTTAACAAAATTTAAAAACATTTACATTTAATGGACGTATCAAATCTTTAAGTATTTGATTAGTAACAACAATTGGAGGAGGAGAAGAAGTAATTTCTTTTATTTTTAATTCAACTTCTTCAACCTTCTTCTGATTTTCAGAATTATTATTATTAGCATTTAAAAGCCTTTGCTGTTGTTGTTTTAAAGCAACTGCAGCAGCTGACCTTTTAGCATTTCCAGACCATTGAGTACGTCTGGGAAGGTCTGAAGTACTTCGAAATTGTTGGAGAGACTAAATAAATAAATAAATTTTTTTGTTTATTTTTAATTTAAAAAATTATTTATTTTTTAAATTTAAATTTCAATACTTGCTTTTCTCATATTTGTATTTCTCTCAAATGCACCAAGCGGTAAAGGTTGGAAAACCCTTTTTTGTTCTGCTTCGTTTCTGTTTTGGATTGGATTTGTTGTTAAATTCTGTCCAATATTTGCTGAAATATTTAGGAATTTTTATTTATATTTTCAAGCAGAGATTAATATTTTCCCGTTACCGTAAAACATGTATTAATTGCCCTCCTCAAATAACTACCCCACTTCCACTAATTATCCCATCCATTTATAGATTGAAACAATAAGTACTCCTAAACAGATGCACTAAAATCCCTTGATTAATTATCCTCCCTTGATTAATTATTCCCTCCAGCGGAAGATCCGAAACAATAATTACCCAGGGTAGTTATTATATTTTAAAACGGTAATATTTCCCAATTTTAAATTTCTTCATTCCCTTCAAATAAAATAAAATTCCATACCATTCATTTTTAACTCATTCATTGATGTTTGTTGAATTTTATTCGGAGGTGGAACAGGTCTTCGAATACGGGCAGAAGCCCCTGCACTGTGCCTTCTTTTAGGGGGTTCCGTAATGGTTTTGCTTTCCTTCTCAAATAATTTTATTTTTCCTTTTCCAAATTCTTCATTTTTATTTATTTCGTTATCTTCATCCAATCCAATTGTATTTAAATTAGTTTCACTACGAAGTCGAACTTCACGGGCATAATAAAGGCGATATTCGTGACGAAGCGGATCGAATAAATAATAACTTTAATAGAAATAATTAATTTGAACACAATTAGTTTAGTTTAACTAAGAAATATTTAAATGCCCACGTAATGAATTCATTGATATGGGGGGGGCAAAACGCAATTATGGAGAGGTGGATTACTTAAGCCGGGTTATCAAATGGCAGATTTCCAAAATATCATTCAAAATCACCGTTTATTCTCAACTATTCCTTCCTCCAAAATCCCTCCTTCTTCTTCATTTCCCTCATCTTCCTTCTTTTTCGGTAAAAGACATTCTCGACTTAATCTAGATTCAGCAATTATTTCTTTTTGGCTTGTTTCAGGTCCCGCAGAGAGAATTTCCGTTTCTTTTATAATTTTCTCAAAATCCCTTTCACACACAATTCTTTCTAATATTGGAACCGAAAGCCCAATTCTTCTTTTATTTGTAAAATTCCGCGCACCTGCTGTTTTCTTTGGTGGTCTAGGCGGTGCTTGATTATATGAAGAATCTTTAAATTAATTATTAAATATTAATTTATTAAAATAATTTTATTCTTTTTTTTTTGTCCAATAAGTTTGGATACATAACTAAGAAAGTGGGACAAAAAATAAGAAATACAAAGTTATTCTTAATAAGGTTGCCGGTTCCTAGGAAATCTTCGGTTATCCGGAACCGGAACCGATAACCGAACCGAAAATTTTCGGTTATCCGGTCTTTTTTCGGTTCCGGATAACCGGAACGCCAACCTTAATTCTTAGAAAATGCGAACTGAATTTTTCTGTTAAATACTACATACATACATATGTATTTAATTAATAATTTATTTCAATATTAAATCCTGCCCAAATAATAATTTTGGAAATACTTTACAATTAAAAAAGTAAAGCAGCTGGGCTATAGCTATTTCTCTCCTTTAACAAGTGTAAAAGGTTAATCGGCGGCTGTGAGCGAACCAGGATCTTCAGTAGACCGGACTGACGTGTTAGCCATTAGCCATGTTAGCCTTAGGAATTAAATAGCTACATATATGCTTTACAAAAATAAATATTTTTATGTCAAAAATCTCTACTTATTTAATATTTTCCAATCCCAAAAATACCTGTGTTAGTTTTAAGATTTAATGATGGTTGAGGAGACGGTAGAGGAACAATCCTTGGAAGTGGAATTGGACGTTTTGGAGAAGAAAATAAATTATTTGGTGGGGGACTTTGCATTGAATCTGAAGCTGTGCCAATTGCTGAATCAGCAGGGGAATTTGGTTGGCTATTTGGTGAAGTTTTTGTGGAAGAATAACCAAACAAGGAAGATTGTTTGGAAGACGACATTTGTAAATTATGGGAAGAGGAAAAAGTTTCTGCCATTTTTTCTTGTATTTTAATTAAAATAAAATTAATGCTGATTTTTATTTAATTTTTATTAAATAAATTTTTAATTTGTTTTTATTAAAATAAAAAAATTTTCTAATAATTAATTAATAATAGGATTAAAATGTGGTAATTGGAGATACATAAAATAAGAATTGAAAGTATTTTTAAATAATTTTAGACTTAAGTTTTTTCTCAAATTCAACTTATGTATAGCTCTGTTCCTATTTAATGATTTATCGGTATCTGAAAAAATTTTTCACAAAAATATTCTTACACTACTGCTCAAAAGTAATGATACCTGGGTATGAAAATTTTTAAAAAGTGATTATTTTGACATGGAAAGGGTTACTTCCTTTTTCATAATCAAAATTCACAATGTTAAGATACTTTCCATGGAAAAAATTTCTTCCCAAAATTCCAACCCCGTGAATTTCTCACAACTTTGGAGAGATCCCTATTTAGATCCTATTTACAAAATACCCAATAATATTTAATTCAATATTTTTTATTTGGATTATTGTTTTATTATCAAAACTTCAAAAATAGGATTTTGATTTAAAGGCAAGGTAAATCAATTAAGCTAAATCGATCGCCAGCTGAAAACTTTTTTAACATTAATTTCTGTGGCCGTCATTTTTTGTTGACTAAAAATAGTAAATGACAAACAATAAACCAGTGGTATTTTATTTATTTTATTTCGATTAAGGCAAAACCACAAAAAAATAAATCGACAAAAATGTGTACATAAATGGCGAGAAAATGTGGGAAGCTAAAAAAGGTGGAGAAGGAGGAGGAAATAATGAGTGAGAAGGAAAATTAAAGTAAATAAAAAGAAATCTCCGTGCTTTTAAGTCTGCTAATAGCGCAACCAAAATATACATAAAAAAGCTTTTACATTATTTTTATTGCTTTAAGTCAATGCTAAAATAAATAAACAATTTATAAATATGTATAAATAACAAAGTCGGAGCTGGACTTAACTTTCGCCTTCAGATTTTCGATTTTTACTGCTTCAAAGTGTGGGCTATTTTAGAAAACGAGGTCCATCTATGGAATCAAGTGTTGTGCTTTTTACAGAATAAAAACCTCCAAATAAATCACTAAATCTAAAGTAAATTGAGTAATGTTCAAGATTTGAGGATTTCAGACTTGCAGATTCCTTTTTTAAGATATCAGACATTTCTACAATTTTCTCGATAAATTTAATTAAGAAAAATTTCGCCGCGCAATGAATTGACAGATAGCTAAAAATCTTATAAAATGCTTTTTAACGTTTTTCAATGACAATGCATAAGCTAAATATAACTACAATTATTTTCAATAAAATAGCCCCAACAAAAATAAAAGCAACTATTGACGTTATGGTTGGTGTGAATGTTTAGAGGAAAAGCAAATATTTGGGAGAAGTGAGAGAAATGCTTTAATAATTCTTATTTTTGTTAAAAGATTTGTTGGTCAAGCGTAGAGTTTGTGACATCTATAATTTTTATAGGTATATTAAGTTCAACTGTTGGAATCAAAGCTTTGAGCGAAGCAAGAGAATGCAAGGCCATGATTGATAAAAAATTAAAAAATAATTTTTAGATAAGATAAAACTATAATAATGAACTATCAATTTAATTATAAGCTAATAATATTCATGGTTGTTTAATAAGTCGGAGAGAAAAATATTTTAAAAAAATGAGAAAAGCGACTTATCAATAATTAAAGAAAATAATAAAATGTAACATATACTAATTTTTATCATTTTTTTACTTTTATTTTTGTAAGATTATTTAAAGAATTTATAAAGTAAAATAAAAAACAATATTAAAGAAATAATTATTCTAGAAAATTTTCAACTTTAAAAATAAAAATAATTTTTTGTTTTTATTACTCTTTTTATGTGTTTTTCGCAGTAAAATAAAAAAGATTGAAATTTTTTGTCCAAATTTTACCTCTAAAAGAGAATCATAAGGACATAAAATGCGCAAAAAATACATAAATTACTTTTGTGGGAACACAAGAGCAGAACAGAAAATTAATTTTAGTATTAAATTAAAAGAATATATTAAAGATTTATTTAGAGAGTAATTAGTAGGGAGGGGTTGTAAGGATTTAAATAAAAATATTTGTTTTTGTTGAATACTAACAAAGTTCGGGGATACATTATGTAATTAAAAAAGGAAAGAAAATTGAATGGAATTAGCGCGTAAAAAGCCGATTTGTCAGTAGCTAAATTAATGAATTTTTTTTGTTTAGATTAAAAGGTAAAAATTTACAACAAAGGATTAACTATTTTTATCTCAAACATTTTTTTAATTTTGTCATCATTTTTAGTAAATAATTTGTTTGCTCAAAGGCTAGATGATTGTAATATATATACACAAAATCCTCAAATTTAACAACCCTCTGTAAAGGTATTGAATAATAGATAGGCTGGCTACTCTATAGGGAGATAATGGAAGTGTTGATGGAATATGTATATTAGAGACCGAGCTGGATCTGGACCAAGGCCTGGGTTTTTCCTGTACCGAGTCAAGGCCCAGGCATTTTTTGACCTTCCTGGGATTTTCCTGGGTCTGGATTTTTCCTGGAGTACAGGCCCAGGTCCGGCCCAGGTCAATAAATCACACTCGGAATCCAGGAACCGGCCCAGGCTTTTCAAAAATCTCGATCTCTAATGTACATTATTCTGCTATCTAAATACATATTAGCAATCAAAAAGTCAATTTATCGATGGGAAATACGAGGAATAAAATTTTAAATATTTAAATGACACAATAAAAAATTCCAAATTTAAAATAATCTCTAGTCTCTAATAAATAATTTTTTTCAAAAACATTTTACCTCAAATGAGCGAGATTTTGAAAGAGTAAAGGTTGTTTTGCAAAAATGTTTTGACTATAAAAAATTGAATTGAGGACAAGGCTACTCTCTCAATTACTTTAAATATATTTTGAATGGTGTGAAGAGGATTTGCGCGAATTGAGTGAATGAATGGATGGACATTAATGATGACATCAAACAAAAATAATTTTAAATAAATATTCTCTCTCCCTTTCTGATTTTTATTCCTTTCTATATCCTTATAAAATGTGAATGAACATTTTCTTTATAAAAATGAACAAAATAATGAATAGATTAAGTACTTTTGGGAATTTCGGGAAAAAGGCAATTACTAATTACTAGTATATACATAAAAAGGAAGAATTTATTTTCTAGATTTGTTTTGGAAGAAAATTGGGAGGAAAAAATAAATAAAAATTATTTAAAATATAAAAAATTCTAGATTAATAAATATAGTAAAAAGCAGAGCCGGGCTATAGCTATTGCTCCTTGAGTTAGTGCAATGGGAGCGAAACAGCATCTTTAACTAATCGGGCTTTAAAAATTACATAAATAGCTTTCCTGCATAGCTTTAGGAACTGAATAGCTAATATTGTTAATTCTTGATATAGAGTAGCTTACTAACAATAGTTTTAACTAATATCATGTATCTGAAAAACTAATTTTTCGATATACATAAAATCAAGTCCTTAATTAAGTTAATATGCTTATCAAGACATTATAACAATTCCTCAACCTTTCTGGAGAGAAAAATAGCTGTAATAAAAAGAAAAAAAGCTTTAAAGTACCTTTAAAATTTAGCAACTATTTTTCTATCATTATTTTTATACAATTAACAGTAATTTAAATTTTTTAGCAAGTTTTATTTCTATGTAAATAGTAACAATTGTTTATTCTTTTTTAGCAAGTTGCAGTTCGTTCCAAACAAAGAACTAACTGCAACCTATTAGAATCATTTGCTTGTATTGCTTGTAAAAACGAAAAAAATATTTTTATGTGAGATTTTATTTATAGTCACGGTAATAAAATACATATAAGAAAATTAAGAAGAAAAAATTAATAAAAACGAAATGCTTCGAATCAAAAAAGAAAAATTAATTAGAAAAGGGAAAAACAAGTAAAGAATGAAGGAGAAAAATAGGAAAGTTTTAAATTAAATAATTAATTTAAAAATTAAAAATAAATAGGCAAATTTAATAAAAATTAAAGAAAAATAAAATTTGTTAAAATAATCATTGCATGATCATATTTAGTAGAAAGATTTTTGGAAATATTTGAAATAATTTGGACATAAAATAATTTGGAGATAAAATAATTAATTTTAGATAAACCTCGGTTAGAAAGAGGTTTTGAATAAAAAAAAAGGTAACTTCAAAAACTATAAGAGTGAATCAAAAAATTTTAGTAAGGTCAAAAACTAGGCTTTCCAATATCCGTGATTGGAAACCCCAAGAATAAGAGTATTCCAAATATAAATATTATTTATCTGAACTGATTAAATTTATAAACGAGATTAATAATTATAAATTTAATAAAATAATCTTCAATAATTATAATTTAATTTTCATCTATTAACTAATTGCATTACTTGTCTAACAAGCATTTCCATATCAGCAAGGACTTGACGGTCGCTTGGGGGAGATGTTGTGGATGTTTGTGAAGGTGGGGTATTTGTCGATGTTTGGCGATTTCCAATAGATTTATTAATGGAAGAGGAAGTAGATGGTGTTGAAATAAAAGTTCTTAGCTGCCGAATACCTGCCTCCATTCGGCTTAATAATTCTCTAAAAAATTTAAGAAATTTTTAAGTGAAATTAGGCAGTTTTTGGTGGGAATAGAAGTCTGTATTGAGTTAATAAAATATTTGATTGAGCACTTAAGTGACAAAAAATTTGGCAAATAACATCATGAATTATTATAAATAATCAAGAATACTTCTGGAGATTCTCAAAATAGTCAAGTAATTTTTTAAGGATTTTACAATGCATTTTGAGTTAAGTTAAAATATTTAAAAATTCACCTAAATTTAAATTTGGAATGTGGAGAAATATTTTCTGCATAAATTGTGCATGTGTGATGAAATTGTTGTAATAAATCACTAATACGAATTAAGTGGTCAGCACCTCCATTTTCTCCATCTTTAGGTTGTTGTTGCCCAATAGCTCTAATAAGAAATGCTACTGTTCCGGCCGTTGGTTTTCGATTAACTTCTTGCATAAATACTGAGGAGAAAAATTACTATTTTTAAATTTTATATACTCTTTATTTTAATGGAATTTTGAGCTAAATTTAAGGCACCGAAAAAGAGTTATTTTTTAGCATCAGAAATCTTTAATTTTATCATCATGAGGGGCGGGGGGGGGGGGGGGGGGGGGTTAAATTAACTATTTTAAACAACTAAATAAAATTCTTCTTATATTTTTTAAAAATTAAAAACCATTTAGTTGTCTGTGTAATTCATTAAGATAATCTTTGCTAACGGGAGGTGTTTGCTGTTGTTGTCCACTATCTTCGGGTACAGGAACTTGATGATGCTCTTTTGATGATAAAAGAGAGGGAGAAGATTCTCTGGGAAGTCTAGGAGAGTTTTCATTATCACTCAAAAATATATTTGAATGTCTCTGAATTGTTGAAGAAGCAGAATGACGTTCAGATTGAGGTGTTAATTGATTAATATTATCTTCAGAGGGCATTGAAGGATCTGAACGCCTGATTGCCGGTATTTGTTGAATATCTCTTTCAGTTGATGGCAGTTTTGGTTGGGCAACAGTAACACATTTGGGTTTGGTACAGGCTTGGGGTATTTTATCATCATTGGGTTTTTCAGGCCTTTGAAGTGTAGAAAATGGTCGGAATTTAACAGGAGAAGCGACTGAATAATCTTTCTCATCATTTTTGTTGTTTAAGGAAGTTTTTGATACTTCAATTTTATTTGTCTCGATAGTTAATTCTGCTGTCTTTTCATCGGTTGCATTCAAATTATCGCTAATTTCTGGTTTTTGAGGACGGTTAAAAGTGACAGAAGAAGTTAAATAAACTCCTTCAATATTACTAGAATTATCATCTTCTTTCTTAGTCTCTTGAACACCTACAGATATTGCTTGCATTGAGAAAGGGCGGTGATGTTGAAGGGGAGCTACTTTTTGAGTGACTAAATGACGCATTTTGGGAGGTGGTTCGATGTTAATTTTTTTGTTGTTTTGTTGTTGGATTTGTTGTTGTTTTGGAATTTCGTTGATTTTTTGACTAAAATTTTAAAAATAATTTTTAAAAATATTTAGATGAACTACTTTAAAACAAATTCTAAATATTTCACAAAATCTCCTACAAACCTTTCATTTTCAATTTTCATTTTAGTCATTTTTGTATCCAAATTACTTTCCTCTAGTTCTTCACTTTGCTCATTTCCCTCCATTCCTTCCGGTGTATTATTCTCCTCTTCCGCAGTAACTCTCTGTACATGGCGCAATTGTTTGATTTTTGCATGGAGTTCGTTATCTTCCTTTACTTCATCAATATTTTGAAGTGAAGAACCAGAAGTAGCTAAATAATAAGAGATTTATGTGTCAGCCCTTTATTATTGTTAGGTATATTCTTTAGATGTATATTCTTATAGAGATATTTATATGTATATTTAGTGTAAAAATATTTTGTGGGCATGGAGATTACTTAAGATAACAACATAAAACCGAGGACCGTTTTGATTTAGCTAAAATAAATTCTGGGATTTTTTGATCCCATAGGAAAGGCATCTAAAATTCTTAATTTACTCACTTTCAATCGAACTTTCAAATTTTGTTTTTTGATTATTTTTTAAACACGATTCAACTGATGGATCTACTGAACGCCTTGGTTTAGGTTCTGGTCTGACCAATCTAGAACTATTCGGTTCGTCTGTCTGTTGATTATTAGATGTTGATTGAACAGCACTAGTCTCTGATGTAGTTTTCTTCAATCTCATTTTTAAGTGTTGTAGAGGAAGTTTAGAAATCTGATTATTATCTTCCTCTTTTTCTTCTTTTAATGGCCTTTCTAATTTATTTTCTTCCTTTTCTTGTCCACTCTTTTCTTCATTCTTTTCAAAAGGCTCGGGAAATTTTAATTCAGACCCGCTCCTTTTAACTGTTGTATCCAAAGAAAACCCTCTAGGCAAAGTCCCAGTTCCACTCAAATTCAATTTTGTTAAATTTTTGCCAGATCTAGGCCCTTCTTCTTTTTGAACGAATTGAACTGTTGGAAGTCTAGCAAATAATTTTTGATTTTTAGTTGAAGGCATTGATGGTTTGGCAAATGTTTTGGATGATAAAGATTGTGGGGGTTCGGTAGGTAGGTGAATAATATTTGGAGAATGATGAAATATTGTTGGGGAAGGACCTCCAACCTAAAAATTAGAATTTAATCATTATTGGAAGAAAGTTTTGAGAATTATTATGGTCAGTTAGAGCAATATAATTCTAAAATTTACCATCTGAGCAGGTTCCGATGGCCGAAAAGTTGAGAAACTTGTCCGTTCTAATTGTGCCCCCATAGAAGGCCTTTTTCTTCTATCAGGACGTGGAGGTGGTGGTGGGGGTTCTGGAGATGAGGAACGTGCTTGTCTTTGTTGCGAGGCACGGCAGCCCATAGATACCGTTCTGTCTCGCAAAAGGTGATGGGCATGAGAGGCTGCACTACTTGATGGAATTGAAGTGCTAGGTATACGAGGAGATATGATGCCAAGAGGGTCAGAAATTCTTAAAAATGAAATTAGTTTATAAAACTTAAATTAGTTTGGAGAATAAGATGGAACAGTTTATGTGGAGTTATATAGAGGAGAATCATTCAGTAAAAAAGTATCATGATCAATGTATTACATATTATTAAATTCGTATATCCCTTGTCATAAAAATTATTTTCTCCTTACTTAGCCTGAGCTTGATCTGATAAACATATCCCCGACATTTCACGTTGTTTTGCTTCTCTCTTTTTAGCAACTGAAGCAGCTACAAAAGCAAGTTGTTGATTTGTTGCTTGTAATGAAGAGGTTGTTTGTAAAGAAGGGCAAAAAGAAGAGGATGAATTCAATTCCTCAGCTCTTTCAGGCGAGAAAATTAAATTTGTATTTTCAGCAATAGGTGTAGTTTCGCCTTTTTCAGATTGCAAAAGAGAATAAAGGCTTTTATGTAAATTATGAAAACGGGGTCTATCAGAAGGGGACCATTGCCAACATTGAAGCATTAAACGATGGACAGAGTCTGGGCAATCAGTTGGTCGTTCCAAACGAAAATCTATATAAGTATTTTGGAATTTTTGGGATCTAAAAATCAAAGAACTTTTTTCAAGCAGGCCAATAACACTCCCCAATTCAACGCCTGGATAGGGTGCCATTCCATAACTAAAAATCTCCCATAGAAGAACACCAAATGCCCAAACATCAGATTTTGTACTAAAAGTGTTATATGCCAATCCTTCTGGTGCTGTCCCTAAAATATTTTTAAATATGAAAATATTTTCAATTAAAAATTTCTTTTCACATTTTATCGGGAATTTAGCCCCAGCATGTGCTGTATAGGTATCATCAGTCATAAACCTAGCAAGACCAAAGTCGGCAACTTTGACAACAAAATCATCATTTATTAGGCAATTTCTAGCAGCCAAATCTCTTAAATTTGAATAAACACTTTAACTTTTAATTAGGTTCCTCAAGTTTGATAGTCAAGATAAGAAAACATATTAGATATAAGGACACTTAAATAGAAGGAATATTAACCCGTCTTTTACGAAGTTAACTATAAAATAACAGTCTGTCCTAAATATTTTAATTTGAGAATTAATCGGTAATTCCAAGGCTGGTCCCCCCTTTTTTTCCTTTCTATTTTTTTCGATTTTTTAAACTTTTTATGGCAAATTATATATCATTCGGAAGAGCTCTTCGAGCTGAGTCGAACGGTACTAAATTCATCGAAATCCGACTTAAAAAACATAGTTATGAGCATTTGTTTTAATCCCTTTAAACATCACAAAAAGCATGTCCATCGAGGATTTAGCTTCATAATTTTGTTCAGAATCGCCAAATCGAACCGATCATAGTATCATCCTACTCAGCTCGAACAGCTCTTTCGAATCTTACCTATATTGTAAATTATATGTCAAACAAAAAAGCTTAAAATGGTAAGGGGAACGGAAAAGGGGGGGGGGACCAGCCTTGGAATTACCAATTAATCTACTACCTATGAATAAAATTTCTAGATTCTAAATAAGCCATTCCAGCAGCTACTTGTGTTGACATATGCAAAAGTTTTTCGCAAGGAAGATCTTCCTTTTCACTTTGACGAAGAAAATCTAAAAGATTTCCGCGTGACATAAAATCACAAATAATAAAATAAGGAGCTTCTCTAGTGCAAACTCCAAGTAATTCAACTAAATTTTCATGATGTAATTCTTTTAATATTGCTGCTTCAGCTAGAAAGTCTGGCAGTGCCATTTGGTCTTCCTGGAAAATTTAGACATTTTTAGAAAGAGGAGGACACTAAAACCTTTAAAGATTTAACAGCAACAGTTCGATTAAAAGGTAACCATAAAGCTTCATAAACATCCCCGTACTGTCCCATTCCAAGCTTCTTCTTCATTACAATTTGTTCTCTATCTACTTCCCATTCATCAGGTTGTGTAGGGGATAAAGAGAAAAGGCTGCTTGGATGGCCTGAGCCAATGTTAGTTTGTCGTTTATTAACAGGATATTGAAGGGCACCTAAAAATAAAATTATAATATTCTTTTGATATTTTAAAGCTTATTAAATAGAAGTTCTAATATGAAAATTAACGAAAAATATTTTAATTATTTTTTATTTTGACTGTTTCTTATTAATTAATTCAAATATTTATTAAGTCCCAAAGTTCATTATAAGCAGTGACACAAGTCAATTTATGACAAAAACTCTAATATAAAGATACTAAGCATATCAGGTACTTGACAGTTCTGACGGAAGCTACTCTCGTAACTAGGATAAAATAAATTCATCCCTCGGAACGAAAAATGTAAAGTTGTTATGTAACAAAATAATTATCATACATATTTAATTTTATTTAAAATTCCTTACAAATTAATCCAGAAGCAGCAACCGAGTGATGATGTATTAATTCTCCAAGCGTTTTAAATTTTGCTGTATCAGTAATAAATAACTAAAAACAATTTATTAATTTAAGAATTTTTTAAAATCACTCCAAACCCTCAAATTTTCATCACAATTAATTCTGTAATGGTAAACTGTCCCCTCATGCCGAAGTGAAATTGAAAACTGTCCAGGATTAGTCTCCGATTCTCTAACTAAAAAGGATCCATTAATTCCAGAACTTAAAAGTTGTTCAGCTCCGATTCTTGTTATTTTGCCGTGATACCAACTAAAATTTGAAGAATTTTTTTCTGAGACTTAAAACTGTCGGAATTTTAAAAGTAATGACTGAACATAGCTGTGATGTTCTAATATAGTTTAAATTCCTTTCTTGATTTTGTTTTTTACTATAATAGGCCACAATTTACGATCAAATTTTACACAATAAATTCACTAAATTTCTATTTAGATATTACTTCTATTTTTACCTCTGTTATTTTGTTATGCCTATCAAGAATTTTAGGATAACCCATACTTGTATGGGTACTTTTCCGTTCTGCCACACCCCCCTAAATTGATGTTCAAAATGTCACATTTAGGGTAAAGAAGGATGCGAAGTCCAACGGTACCACTCTTTTTTCCAGGAAATGGCTTTGGACCAAAATATTGTGCTCGAAATGGTCAAAAACCATACGGAGGAGTTAGCTCAATTTTGGGATAAAAAATTCGAATATGCAAATAATATCTCATTCGAAAGAGCTCATGTAGCTGAGTCGAAAGACACCAAAATCACCGCGGTCTAACAAGTTTGGACCAAGTTACGATACAAAAATGTGTGTGGTTCTTCAATTTTCAGAGAGCTGTATCTCGGTCAAATCAAATCAGATTTCGTTAATTTTGGTGTCATTCGACTCAGCTCGACGAGCTCTTTCGAATGAGGTATTATTTGCATATTTGAATTGTTTATCCCAAAATTGAGCTTACTCCAAGCCTATAGTTTTTGACCATTTCGAGCACAATATTTTGGTCCAAAGGCATCTCCGGGGAAAAGGAGTGGTACTGTTCGACTCAGCACCTTTTTTTGCCCCATATATGACATTTTGAACATTAATTTAGGGGGGTGTGGCAGAACGGAAAAGTACCCTTGTATGTACTATAAGGAAAAATAATGTGGTACAAAATACGAGCAAAATTAAAATTTCCATTGCTGGTTTAAGATATTCTAACTAATTTAACATTCAAAATTATTCCTTTTACTACTATCAAATATCCAATATATTATTTAAAAAACCTGTGTTTATCCATAGAATTAGAGGGGGCAATGTAAATACTAGGTACCCAACCAATTTGCTGTCCATAATTTCCTCCAGAATTTACAGACGATCCAATAGAAGAACACGAAGAACTACAACAGCCAGTGCCCCCAACAACCCCTCCCAAACTTGAAAGACTTGGACTGCCTAATTTGGCAAAATTATTTTGTTGTTGTTGTTGTTGTCTATTAATTAATTTAACTTCACACCATTCTTTTGTTTTATTATATCCAATTACTTTTACCTTTAAAATATATTTTTTTAAAAATTTTCCTTTTATTAATTCTCATTTTAATTAAATTTTCCCTTTTAATTAATTTTTTAAATTACCTAAACCCCTTAAAATTATCAGAATTCCAAAAACAAATTTTTGAAATTAATTTTTAATAAATAACAAATTCTTTTATTTGATAATTCATTAATTATAAGCTTACAATTTATTTTTAATATAAAATTTTATTTATTTAGTTATTAAGGTTTTAAATTAATTTTTTTAAATTTTATTTTTAAAATAAATAATGGCTGTAATCTTTTTTAATTTTAAAATTTTATATAAACTTAACTATTAAAGAAACTCTTTAAAATTTTATATGTAAGTTAGTATTAATTTTTATAAATTTTTTTTCTAATTTATGTATACTTTATACATAATTTAAAATTTTATAAAAATATTTTTAAAAAATATTTTTAAAAAAAAAACCTTATCTCCCTTTTTTAAAGCCAATTTTTCTTCTCCAATACCCTGAAAATCATATAACGCTACAAAAACATTACTGGAAGAAGAAGAACTTCCATCAACAGATAAATTTTCTTCTGTTTGGGACGGGGAAGAATTTTGTTTATCTGATAAATTCTCTGTTTTTTGTTGTTTTATTCGAGTAGAGGAGGGCATTTTTTAATTAATTATTTTTACATTTTTAATTTTAATTTATTTTTTTTTCAATTATTACAATTTAATTTTCCAAAAATAAATAAAAATATTGAATAATTTTGTGTAATAGAAAGCACTTTTTATACTAATAAAATCAATATTTCCTGAAAAGTAAAATTGGACAGAATAATACATAAAATTAAATATAAAATATAAAATGGGTCGCGAATTTAAAAAATATTTTTTTAATTTTTTATTTAATTATTAAATTATTTAATTAATTAATATTTACATTCAAAATATCCTCACATTTTTTTTAAAAATAAAACAAAAATTAAAAACAGTCGGTGATAGGAAGACTAAGCGATTTTGATCAATTCCACTTTCAATCTTTCTAATGTTTTCTGGGAATGTTCTAGTTTGTTTTGATTGTTTTTGATTATTCGTTATTATTATGTATTAGGTACCGCATAACCTATATTAATTGTCTCCCTCAAATAACTACCCCACATATATTAATTACCCCATCCAGCGATAGTTGAAATAATAATTACCCCCCCCCCCCTCAAATACTCTAAAACACGTTCAAATTTCAAGCCCCTCCCTCGATTAATTACTCCTTCAAGCGGAAGGTCGAAAGAATAATTACTCAGAGTAGTTAATAAGTTTTACGGTATACGTCAACACAAATTAAATTTTAATTCAAATAATAAAATAACCAAAAAATATTTTTATTTATTTTATCCAATCGAGAAAACCTTTTCTGTTTCTTTCTATTCCCAATTAAAAATAAAAACCAGAAGGACATTTTTTGTTTTATTTTTCCTTACTTTTTTTATTACTCGAGTGAAGGTCGAGTATTAAAAACATATGTGGAAAAATAAAAATAAATAAATATATTTTTGGAAAGTATTAATCAATCAAAAATCAATTCAAAATCTAAACTTAATTTAAACTATATTGTGGAGTTAGAAAATAAATGATGGATTTAGCTAAAATTATAATTATTTATATGTATATAATTATTAGTATTTTTGCAGATTTTTAAGGGATGTCTTTTTTATTTAATTAAGGGATTGTTTAGAAAAAATCTCCCTTTCATTAAATAAAATAATTTTAATAAAATCTAGTAGTTAAAGATTAAAAATAAATATTTTAATCAAAGTAACGTAAATGCTTAAATAATTACCCTAGGTAATTATTGTTTCAACCTCTCTCTAAAGGGGGTAATTATTAGGGAGGATGTGTTGGATTTGGGATATATCTCGATTAATTTATTTTTTGATATCGAGTCGTAAAATGTTCCAATAGTTAAATTTAATCATAATTTTTTAAACATCTTTAAAGTTTGCGTAAAAAAGCTGGGGGGTAATTATTAGAGGGTAATTATTTGAGAGAGGGTAATTATTTCAGCATTTACTAGCTTATGCTTTTCGTATTTAATTAAATTTAAAGATTAATATATTAAATGTTAAACTAAAAATATTATTCACGTTTTTTGTACTTTTTTACACTTTCCCAGCTTTTTAAATAAAAATGAAAAAGCAAAGAAATGATTCTTTTGGGTTTTGTGTGTTGCTTTTTATGCCTTAAAAAACTTTATTTGTAAAGTCAGTCAAAATAATCTTTTATTTTTAGAAATGAAAAATGGAAAAATTAAAAATTAATGTTTTTGATGTAAAAGAACAATAAAGAATGAATATTTTGTGAGGAAAGAGGGGGAAGGAGGGAAAGGGGGGAGGGGGTAATCTTTGTTGGGAATTGGGAATGCTAGAGTAGTTGTTGAGAGAGGATTTTAATAAAATAAGAATTTAAGCTTGGTCCACGAGGAATTTCTTTCAGCGAATTCTGGGAAGGAGAGGGAGAAAAAGGACGAAGATTGAGGGAAATTTGAGCTGTTTGGATTAGAAAAGTTAAAAATTTTTGTAATTTCGATCAAAAATTTTTAAAAAATATTTTCTTATTTATTAAATTATTTCCCTTAATATTTTAAAAACACAATATTGACTAAACAACTAAATAAATAAATATAAAATAAAAGAAATGATTGACAATTGGGGGTGGCTACTAAAATATAAGTTGGAGAAAAGTAGTTGAGGAAAACGAGGAAAATTTTTGTTTGAAGAAATGTTTGGGTGGTCATTAATTGGCCAGGTAAATAAAAGAAAAGAGGACAGGTGCTTAAATATTTTTATTTATTTATGTGGTTTTAAATATTTAATTTTATACAGAAATTTTAAGACAATCTTCTCAGATTTCTTAAAGCAATGTACTAAAAGCAGAAAAAATATACCAAAAATTAAATGGTTTAAATTTTTGGAATAAAAACTTCTAAAAGAATTTAAGAAATAATTTTTAATAAATTTATTTTAGTTTGCCCAATAGACAAAATAATTTTATTAAAATGTTATTAACTTGGTTCTGATTTAGGGCTGAAGATTTTTAAAAATATTTTTATCTAGATGAAGAATATTTATATCAAAAATATAGCAGAGATTTAAAAGATCAATCGGTTAAAATTTGGTTGCGGTGATAAAATGTTTTTAACAGAAATAAGAAAAAAAGGATTTTAATAAAAACAATTCTATGTGGACACACTACTAGGATTATTAAGAAATAATAAAAATTGATGACAAATTTAAATAATTTTCTAGACTTCAAAATATCTTTTACATAAATTTTCGTTCATTGCATCTTCCTTTTAAAATAAAAGCTTTTGTTTATGTAAATGAAGGAAAGAGAGAGAGGGAGAGGGGGAGAATGTTTTGGCAGTTGGGAAAATAAAAAGAGATTGGCATTTTTACATTTTTGTTTTTAGCTCCGGCTGGACAAAGAAAATGGCATTTTAAGAAAACAACAAATGGAAATAAATAGAAAAATTAAAAGGAAGAATTTGCGGAATTTAAAGGCAGCTGTGGATATATTTAAAGGATTTTTTGTATATTTTAGGTATTTAAATGCGTATAGTAGTATATATAAATTCAACGGGTAATAATTCTTCAATGATTATCTCCTAAACTTTTTAGAAGTCGGAGAATCAAAGATAGGGGACAGAGATGTACTCAGTCTTTTGCTATACTCTCGACATCTTGTTGTTGCTGTTGATATATCCAGAAAAGTTTAAATAAATTTTGTAAATATTGTAGACTATTTTATTTGAAAATTATTTTAAAAAATAACTTAAAATACTTCTAACTAAATTAAAAAACAAAAATAAAAACTTAGGGATATGGGAATTGAAAAAAAATATTTTTTTATTTCAAAGCCGATGAAAAAGCAAAAATTACATAAAAGAGTGGACAGAAGAGGGGAGAGGAAAGGAGGAGGTCTTTCCCCCTCTTTTTTTCGTCCAATTCAAAAATGTCCGTTGGAGAGAGTTAGTAGCTCTATCTAGCTAAATATATTCTCTCTCCTGCTAATCCATTTTTTGGCCGTCACAAAAAGTTAAAAAATGCAAATGTATATATTTAAATATATTTATTGTTTAAAAAATATTTTTTGAAGAGTTTTTTTTGTCAGTGACAGGTGCAAAAAATTAGAAAAAAAACTTTAAAAGAAAGTAAAGCAAATTTATTTATCGAAAAAATTATTTTCTGTTTTTTACACTCAATTATTTGGAAACAGGGGATACAAAACGGGAAAAGCATAAATTAGGGTAATTATTTTAAAAAAATTAGAGAGAAAAACTTTCCAGTCTTACTTCAAACTTTCTTTGTTAAATATTTTTAAGCTAATTTATTCTTCTTATTAAATTTCTTTAAATAAAAACAAAATACTATTCAGTAATAAAATAATTTTTAATATAAGTTAACGCTAAGGTTTATAGAAGAAATGAGAGAATTACATTTTACTTTGATTTGTACGAGTTGAAGAAAGTGACAGAATGATGGTTATGTAGATAATAATCAGAAGAAAACAAAGGTCATTAAATAGAAGGTGTTTGTGAGGGTTGGTGTTTATTATTTTTTAGCAGGGTTGCTGCGAACAAAATGCATCCCTTATTTTTAAATAAAAAATTAAATATCAAGTTCCTCACTCTCCATGATATGTAAATTAAATTTGCCCTGAAGAGTGATGTCTCGGAAATAATCCAAAGGAGTCCAAGAAGTTATTTGGGCTCCCTAATTTGGAAGTATTATCCAAGTCGGTTATATCTAAAGCATTTTTCTAATTTATTATGTAATAATTTACAAAAAAAGGACTTTTAAAGAAAAATTAATTTATTAGCATAATCGTAAAAATAATTTGGAAGCACTTAGAAAATAAAAGGAAGAATTGTCATCACAGAATTTATTAAAAGAATAAAAAGAAGAAATTCTTTCATTTTGTGGTCATTTTATGAGAAAATGAGTGATGAGAGAGAGAAGAAGTGTTTGGTATTATAAAGGGTTTTTGAGTAGAATGATTGAAGGAAGAAATAAAATTAAAAAAAGAAAGGCATCTCAAGTATTAAATCTACACAACAACATCTGCTTTATATTTTTTCTGTAAAAAAAATAATTAAATTTAAAATAAAAATGAAGCAACATTTTAAGAAAGAAAAGTAATTTTTTGTATTTTTTGTATATATTTGATGTATTTTAATCCCATTCATAAAAATTAAAATATTAGAAGTTAGTAATTACTTGGATTATACATAGGTAAATAAAAGATAAACAATGAAAATTAAAAAAGCGGATGGCCGTGATGATAGATATTTAGGTGGAAAATAATCGGAACTTTGGTACTGATTATTTTATTACAATTTAAAAAATTAAAAAATAATTTTAAAAAGAAAATTTCGGAAGGATCTCGTTTGTCACTAATAATAAAATAATAGGTGAACTTGCAAAATATGAATTAGGAAACTTATTTTATGAACATATTATAAATATCCGTTTTCAAAATTTCTAAATAAAATGTTTATCAAAAAATAAATAAATTTCTTGACAAAAAATATTTTTATTTATTTTTATTATCTTTAGAAACTAAAACAAATAGAATTAATTATATACACTTACTTATGTGAAAATATTTTCTAATAAAAAAATAAGCTTTAAATTAATGGACTGATTTATTTCTTTTAATTGAAATTAAAATAGAAATAAAGATTAGTACATATTTCTTTATTTAGTTGTTTATTTAATTAATTTATAAAATATTTTATTAACAACAATATTTTTTGTGTTAATTTAATCTACTATTTATAAGTGTTTTAAATTCAAATTAACTATTTTCTATTAATTATTCGAAAAAAATATTTAAAATAACTGGAAGATGAATCAATTAAAAAATAAAATAATTAAATAAATAAATAAATAAACTAAAAAATATATTTTCTCACATTCATCCCGTTTTATTTTAATTTGTCATAAATAAACAGATGATATCTATTTATTAACAAACAGAGGAAAAATGGGTGATGGAAAGAAATGTAAAAAATATAAATTAGTAATTTTTGAAAAAAATATAATTTAAAGATTTTATTAACACACACGTATTTGTGCTTGAACTCCAATATAATTTAATCGTCTAATTATAAGGGTGCAGCATAGCCGAAATTCTGATTGTTTGAGAGAAATTATGCTTATCTAAACAGTTTTTTAAAAAACTGAAGTAACTGCACAATTTAATAAAAAAGATAGTTTTTGTTTTAATATTTCTTACAAAACATAAATGAAAATTCCTTTATTGTTTTTAGGAAAAAAATTTTCTTCAAAAATTCAATTAAATATTTGAACAGAAAATTCACCTTATTTACAACAAAAAACAATAGAATTATGTCCTCATATGCGTAAACTTATTTGGTAGGATACAATAATTAAATACATACTCCGATTAATCTCGCGCTTTGATTTTTTGCGACAATTGGGAGGCTTTTGGCGACGAAAGGTCGCCCCATTCATTTCCTTTTTTCTCCAAATAACAATAAAAACGAAAAAATAAATGTTCTAAATAAAATAATTGAGCGAGAATATATTGAATAGAATTAAATAAATGGAAAGAGATGATCGGGTTAAGGGATTGAAAAGATTTATTTAATAATAGTTAGTGTGTGGTCGATAGTATTTTAGTTTTTTCCCGATAATTATGTATTCAACAAAATAAAATTTGGATGAAATAATGAGTAAAAAATTATTTAAAAAAAACTCTCCCAATTTCAATTTTCACAATGATACTGCAAGTAAACTTAATTTTTTTTTTTTTTCTTTATCGAACACAAATAAATAAAATGTGAAACAATAAAATAAAACTCCTGGATCCACAGGGATCACTTATGGAGAGGTAACATACAAAAAAAATGCAAATACAATAAGACGGTTTAAAAAAATGTTAAGTTAAAAATATATAAATAAATGGACTCCACAGAAAAAAATATATATAACTGTAAATTTAAATTAAATGTATGAAAGTTTAAAATGTATGAAAGTTTAATAAATGTATAAAAAATATATGTATATTTAGGTAAAAAAAATATTTGTATTAAAAATAATTTCTTTTAATTTAAGGTAAATATGTTTAGGTAAGAAAGTGAACACTTAGGTTAGGATTTAATTGTTAATACACTCCATTAATTCATTACTCATAAATTATTATCTTCTGTAATTAAGATTTTGTCTAAGAATTTTTTGAATTGAGGAATAGTATTTATTTTTTCTATTTCATTTTTTGGAAGTTTATTCCACCTATCTATGATTCTATGTGAAAAGAAATGATTATTTTTAGCTTGTTTCTTAAATATTTGATATCTATGCAAGCGCGGATTATTTCTATTAGGTTTTGAAAATATTTGTTCTGGATTTATTTTATAGAACCCTTTTATTATTTTGAAGGTTGTCATAAGATCTGTTCTTATACGACGGATATTAGTTGGAGGGAGTTTGCATCTTTTTAGTCTTTCGTTATAGCTTATTTTTTGGTATTTGTATTTATATCTTAAAACTTTCCTTGTAAAGCTTCTTTGAGGTCTCTCTAATTGTTTGTTAAGATATTCTAGTTTTGGGCTAAAACTTTCAGTGGAATACTCCATAATTGGCCTTACGTATGTTTTAAATGCCTTTACATAAGTATCTATTGGTAATGTTTTAGGTAATATTCTTAGAATATTATTTAGCCTTATAAATGAGGATTTAGTGATTCTTGCTACATGTTGGTCAAATTTAAGTTTGTTATCTATGTATATACCTAAGTCTCTTATGTTA